GTCTTGGGTTATGATGTTTGGCCTATAGCATGATGAAGTTATAAGCTATCAAGTTCGTTTAAATGAATGACCTGACCAACTTTCAAGGTCACAGGGGTCAAAATGTGCTGAAGTATTTATTGGCGTCTTCAGAATAACAAATAGGTGTAGATGATAATACTTGGCTAAAGCATGCATGGCTACGGGCAATGAAGTTTATTCAAATGAATTATCTTGACCTACTTTCAAGGTCACCATGGCAAAATTTGCTAAAACACAAAAACAACTTTTGATGAACTGCGAGTCCATGGGTAATAATAACTGGTCTGTAGTATTTCACGTTGACCCGGATCTATATTTACTACTGGGTCAATATGTTAAAACCTTTCAATAACTTCTCAGGAATATCCATGAAGCCTAGAGTCATAATGTTTGGCATTAAGCATGCTTAGATTATGTATTTGATTTAGTTAATGTTGATTGTCATAGTTGTAGCCACTGACTTTTGTTATTTTTTTCACACTTGATTCCAACACAACAACACAATGATAGTGATATTGTAGTTTTATTTTTCATGATATTATATTACATATACCATAGAATGTGGAAATTTCCCCAATGTTTTTTTCCCTTTAACGAGTGGGCAAAATCAATATGAGGCAAATATTGTGATATCTTTAAAGTTACAAAGTTTTAAAACAACAGGAGGGCAACCTGAGTGAATTCATATTTAAAATGTTTAAAGGTAAAAATTTGGTGTATAGTATATCACAATGAACACATTTTACCCACATTCAACTTTTACAAATAATAAATAGTTCTAAAAGAAGTGTGCATCCCAAAACACAGGTGCTGGACACACAACAATTTCTGATGTGTGTATAATTATTGTTTATACTAGAAACTTTCGCCAATCAAGCATTCACCCTTCACTGTGGAAATCTGTATTCCCTCTGTGTTCATTTCCTTAATTTTGCCCTTCACATATGGCATGTTAGGCACTCACTGTCGTAAGTTTTCCCTCATTACTAAGGGTTGAAAAGGCAAAAGAAAAAAACAAAAATGTCTCTGCATACAGTGTACTGTGTATACAGACATCATATATTGTTTCGTGTGTTCCGCATTTGTGCCCTACACCAGTGGCAAATGTAATCATGGAATGTGAAATCACATATACGTGATAGATATTGGAATACGCTGGAACAAAAAATGTACGAAGATTCATATGTTCACCGGAAAGGTTCAAATGCATGCTGAGAAAGCAGAATTACATAGATCTATGTAGAAACTTATCATGAAAACTATTTCAAAATCAATACTCAACACTCTCTTTTATATATATATGTCATAAACTAAATTCCTATATTATATTACAAATACATAATATACTTCACAGTTGTAATTGTCCAAAGAAACAAAACCCTGTCAGACCAGATGAACCTTTCATGATTAGTTTTCATTACATCACAGATATTTTCCATCCCACACATAATACAAATATCATTTATTTTTCACACATCTGCAGTCCTTGTATATTTAAGGAGCCATGAGAGTGACAAACTACTCTCTTTTCATATCATCTGTGAATGAGACAAAGGACCTACAGATTTCAGTTCTATAAGGGGGACTTTTATGACAAAAGGACCTAAACATTTTGAGTCTTTTTTTCCGAGAATAAATCAAAATTGCTTGAGAGACCACCTCTGTATAGAGACCACCTGTGTCACATTTTTTTTTTTAAATGTTTGAAAAAAAAATAAAAAAATAAGACTTTTTATACTCTCTAATGTAGTTGTTTCATGTCAACTAAACCTGTATTAATTCACCCCTGAAATTTCATAACGAACTATTCCAACTTTTGAATTGGAAGAGTTCAAATATGTCTTCAGGGGTAAATGAGTTAAAAGACTAACTGCAATAAGAGAACTTTTTGGACTTCCATAGGGTGGTCTCTGAACACAGGTTTGAATAGGGTTTTACGTCTTGGCAACAGCTACATCATATGAAGAAGCGTCCACAGATTAAGTTACACGATGACAGTGTCCACATATGAGGAAGCAAGATATAAATATACATATGTAAATTTCCGGCCTGTACCGTGAATCAAACCCCAGACATCTGTGCTGGAGCACGGCAACAACAATTATTGGACCACTCCCCCTCACAATTCACAAGTTTGGATGCTGATGTTTTGTTTTTGTTATTTTTGTAGTCTGAAAAACCACAAGCCCCTATAAATTCATTGCATTCTACCAGAGAGATACTTAAGACTATTCACTAATAGTGGTGAAATATAAACAAACGTATAGTAATTCCAGGATCAAAATTAATTGCTTATGTTTGCCCCCACAAAATCCCAGCACTGTACTGGTATTGTCATCTGGTAAAACCAAGGACGAGGGTAGTTTTAAACACTAGAATGTCGATTTCAATTCCTTTTTTTAAAGAATTGTAAGACTCATAGGAAGTTTTGGACTATAATTTTAGCTAGACATATACACAGAGTATAATCTACAAGCACAACACTACAACATAAAACATGGAAGCACCTTCAGCAAAGTGTCATATATATGACAGGACCTGGGAAAGAAAGAACTAATACCCGTGCAATAAAAATCAAACAATTCTGGTGAAATTAAATGGTAAAATAAATATGTATGCAGGCTGGTACAATATTTGGAGATCTGTAGCAAATATATTTACGGAGATATTTGCCCTTGAAGAAAATGGGAGATAAGTCTTGTTTGAAATACATTAAACAGTTTAAAATACATTAAACAGCAACCAAAAGGTTTTGGAAACAACCCATTGCTGGAATAAATATTTCCAAACAGAAAATTAAAGCATAAAACTATACAGGAGCTGTTCCTGTGTTAAAAACATGTTAAATGTTGGAAATATTTTTGTTATAAGAGGTACATATGTATTAATATTTTAGCAGAAAACCACTTTCAGTTGTAGTGATATTTCAGTGGTAATTGTATTACAGCAATAAGCATTTTTCAGTGGTAATCATACATAAGCGGTAATCCGTTTCAGCAGAAATCATATTGTATCAGTAAGCGTATTTCAATGTTTATTTCACACTACCATATTTATCCCGCAATAAGCCTTGGGCCTAATAGAATCTCTACCCCCTTGGGGATGAGACTGGGGAATCTCAACTTGAGGGGGAAGATTCTAAAGTTGCCAAACAGAATCTTTAAGTTGGCAACTTAAAAATCTTCCCCCGGGGGTTGACATTCCCCTATCTCACTCTCATGGGGGTGATTGATCCTTTTTCTTTTACCCTGTTCACCCATTATGTATCATACACATAGTATAATGTTGACGTTACCTGCTGATTTCAGCCTGTTGACATGACGTTGACGGATTTTTGCCGTGATGTCATTGTATTGTTAACATGAAGTCAAACCATTGTTATGAATAAGGGGAATGTTATGAATAAGGGAATCCTCCGTCTCAACCCTTGGCGAGACAAGGATATCTCACACCGGGCAAAAGGGTTTACACCTGTTCAGGGTAGGAGTTCACATAGTCTCTGACTTAAAGTAGAGGGATGGGCTAATTACAGGATAATGAAAAAGATAATTTTGGCATTTCTTATTATTACACCTCTACTTTATTTACTCTATATAAAAGTAATTGGTTAAATCAAATATATCCCCACTTTTGCCTGAGTGTGTTTTAGTCCTGTGTGTTAGTCTGTGAATTAAAACACACCTACACTCGGGTGTTTCCGCCGAGCCAATCAGGCGAGGGGTGGGCGGAGCTTGTTACCGAACTCGGCAGTGACGCGCGAGGTGGGCGGAGGTTGCTTCCGAACTCGTAAGCATTTGGCTCCATTGCCATCAAAAGGGTATTTGGGACGTGAAGCTATACAGCTTATGGTTTACAAATATTTTCTAGTTAAAACTATCTCTCCAGTGTGTATCGGTATAATAAAACGATTAAAGTATGGGGTTGAGGCATATATAGCAAGTATCTGGTGTCCCTTGACCATGCCTATTTTCCTCGGCTTCGCCTCGGGAAATAGACCTGGTCTCGGGACACCAGAAACTTGTTATATCCCTCAACCCCATACTCTAACTGTATAGTAACTGCAACATAATTATTATTATATTGGTTGGCTTATTTCCAAGCAAACTCATTGCCAGATAAATACGGGAGTAATTAGAAAACACTTAATTATGCAAATCACAGATTATAACATTACTGTATTCCTGTACATTTTATATAGCTGTGGCATTAAATCTTGAAGCTTGTCACTTGAAAACAGCTGCCAATACACAGAAATATTTGTACACTGACATTTGTATATTTACAGTATATATTAACTGTAAAATGGAAATAAATCCAGTTACAACAGTTATTTTATATGAGGACACGTTGAAAATCAGATATATATTTGAGTACAGTCGTATATTAAATTAGACCATGTTAGGGACAAAAAGTTAATTGCTTTAAACCATACAACTTCAAAATTCAATCAAAAAGTCAATCCCTTGTACACAACTTGCACAAATATAAGATATGCCAGGACTGTTTTCGTTTAAACCGTTGAAGCAACTCAACCGTTTTTTTTTCAAAACGGTTCCTCTTTAAACTTAATGCCTAACATCAGAACATGTACACAAGATATTGGTGAATTACTGAAAACAAATTCTAAATTCTACAGAAACCTTTTTTTTAAGTGAAAGTTGTAGACTTTGACTGGAGCTATAAAAACCAACATCTCAAGATATAAACCCCAAATTGTGTTTTCTATATGACCTGTCTATACAGACCACCTGTCTATTGAAGCCATCTCTTGGACGGTCTTTCTACACAGGTTTGATGGTATTTTTCTTTAACAAGACCATTACAAATACTTAAAACTTCACTTTTATCAACAAACTCTCAAAAATATTTTTATTTTCAATCTTAGAATAGTAAATACATGCATATAAATCTTTAAATAGCTTGAAAGACAAACTAAAAAAACAAAACAAAACAAAACAAACAAAAACTAGCAGTATGTACATTTTAAAGGAACAAATAAAAAATTAAATTTAGGAATGCATGGTATTGCTATATATTGGTATATATTGTGAGATATTAGGATGTTAAAAATTCATATAATGTTGACAACAAATTAATTACAATGGAATCAATTCTTTTTATACATATTGACCCAATATACTTAATTACACCTCAACAAAATAAAAATTAGATTCTTATTCAACGTTAAAAATATGGCATTCAAAAAACATGAAGAAAGATAACATTTATTTAAATTCTAAACATTTCTCTGTCTCTCTCAAACTAAAACATAATTCAGCTTTTTACAAGAGGAAACACACAATTGAAACTATAGCATATAGAAAAAATTTAATCAGAATTAAATCTTAATTGAGTGCTTTATATAAAAAGATTTCATTTGTTGAACTATGAAAAAATATAAAATGGAGAAAACCGAGTCGTTTCCCTTTGATGCATTTATGCTAAACATGCCGACCTATTTAACCTTTCACCACTGTAGACCATAATGGACTCACCCAGATCAATGCATGGAAGAGTCTACTTAAGTTACATAGAAGTGAAAGTGTTAAAGGTAGTCGTTGATATTTGTTCAACCCTGCTCAACAAAAAAGACAACATATACAATGTATAAATAACAGATTTACTATAAACAAAACAAAAATGTCAAAAATCATATTTTTATGATGTGCTTTTTTCCACAACTTTTGGGATTGAGCAACAATTTTTAATCATCATTCCAGTAGAAAACGGCATTTTATATTTACATGGTAAATGTAAGCCATAGAAGTTCCTACTAACAGGCATGACATAACCAAAAAATACCTTTAAAAAAGTAAATGGCAAAGTGTTCATGTATGTGACTATAAGTCTGATTGTAACATAGCTAAAACATAAGAACAAAAAAAGAGGCATAAAGAAATTAATAATTGGAACAAAAAGATAACAAATATTCTATGATTTCCAATGTGAAAACTATGTTGATCATTAAATGTGAGGTAACTCTTAAGTGTTCCTATTACTCCTTCCCATTCTAAGTTTCGATAGCATTCGTGTGTATTAAGCTGCTCATTATATAATTACTCAACTAACGAGAAAAATATGATATAAATAAGCAACATCGTCACTATTATTGTGGTAGATACCCATCACATATTATTATGAGTTACATAATGCACAATAATATGAGGCTGTATGGAAAACTTATGTAACTAACTTGCATTCATACCAGCATGAAAATTGAAAAGACGCCTTTCAAATCCTATTTCTCACACACTTTGTATGTGTATCCCTGTATTTTGCTGGGGAAAAGATTATAAGACTCTTTCATGCCCAGGGGTGTAGGATAGGAAAATTCAAACCTCAGGATTTTCAAATTTGGCAATTTAATTACACCCCTATCTTACCCTAGACACCTCTATCTTACATACAGGGAAATGAGAGAAAACCCTTTCTGTTATTTCCGTGTGTGTAAGATAGAGCTATCCAGGGTAAGACCTGGGTGTAAGATAGAGCTATCCAGGGTAAGACCTGGGTGTAAGATAGAGCTATCCAGGGTAAGACCTGGGTGTAAGAAATGTCTATCCTACACCCCGTTTCACGTGATGTGATGTGATGTCACAATTGCTCAACAATGTGTAACACGCTTTATTTTCTGAAAATGTCCCCCATCACGTCCTCAATTCTGTCACACATTCCGTGTGATGATGATGGTGCAGTGCAGTCAGTGATAAGATTCTATAGGAATGATTTTATAATTTGATAGGCTTACATAGTGAGTATGTCAAGTAGTTGTAAATGTGGATCATTATATGATACATTGTATATAGGACTTTGCAAATGACTGTTCTTTATACAAATACAAAAATATATTCTCAGAGGAATGAACAGAAATGTTCAGGTGCGATACAATATTTTGACACATAAATATCACACGATCATTTCATTTTTCCTATGTTATACACATGATTGGTTTATTTATACTCCTTGTATGTATAGAACATTGGTTATTAAATGGTCTGCTACAATTCATTTAAAATTATTACATGTATATACCTAACAGTTCAAAATGAACACTTTTGGAAGTGGAGGTAACCCTGTGTTCCACTTCAAACAAAACACCAGGTCCGATCTAACCAGTGTTGATTCCTCAGTGATGTGAAACAGTATGAATTTGTACAGTGTTAAATTTGGGGTTTGTCATTTGGTTTAGTATGTTGTATCATTTTACATTCCTACTGCTAAACGCTGTGTTGAATTTGTGAATATTTTCAGGTTGTGCATAAAAAAAAATATCTTGCAGAGAGGAACTTTCCTTTAAAAAAATTAATCATTTTCACAGCATCTGGATTTCAGTATCTAGGTGTCAGTGTTTTGGATATTCTTTTCAGAGTTAAATTTACAAAACAGTTCCTTTTTTGTGAACTATGAATCTGTATTTATTTACACTTCAAATGACAAGACAATTATAATCACAGCCTTAGCTTTAGAAAGGGACCTGTCGGTCTTAAAACATTCTGACACCTTAACATCTACAATGTCATTCACAATGATTTCAAAACTGATGAAACTTCTTTAAGTATAATTGCACATTATTGCTACAAATTCTAAAGCAACTGAAAAGCTATCTAACTCCAAATCTTCCTTCAACTACTTTCTTTTTGGCAAAAATAATTAATGACAGTGAAAACAGTGAGGAAAACAAATCTATACACTAAACGTGAGCAACAAAAAATATGGCAAGGACCCAGGGCCCAACTCAGACCTGAAATCAAAACTGTTTACAGGTAAGATTTCCCCAGAGAAAAACGTTTTTGTCTCTTCAAATTCCTCTTTGAGCTGGAAAATTTACCATTTATCTAAAAATCATTGACAGAAGAACAAAGGTATTAAAAACAAGTTGATACATTTATGGTAAATGATTGAAATGACGAGAAGGCTATTATCACAGATAAAAAATTACCATACAACCACAATCAGCTGTAGGTTGTTGAGTGTGAAATATCCCATCCAGCAACCATAGTTGCATTTCTGCCTACATCACCACCGGAAGGGTCCTGGAATGTCCTAATTATTTCATTCAGGGCGGCAAACGTACCAGTGGCAAACCCTACAATGCCCAGCAGTATGATGAGGACATTCTTAAAGACTTTGATGGCAGAGAGACGCTCTCCTTCAGCTGAATATGTGATGATCTCAATGAGAGGAGGAAACATCAGGGCTAGAGAGCTACTGGCAAGGGAGCCAACCAAGGATATCATCAGGTCAAGGTGTGGCACCACCATGGATATTCCACCTGTGGTCAATAAATTGTTATATAAGAATTTTCCATGTTCTGGAAAAAGTACAATTCTTATGAATGCTCAAATATTGTGAGGATTTTATTTAGGTCTGGATCGAACTGTCTGCTCAACTGTTGCTTATATACCCCAGACAAACAGACGAATGTCCAAGTTTGAGACATAAATCATCACCTTCATATCATAAGTATCTCTTGCAGGAAGTTAGGTAGTATGTAAAGGAGGTAAAGGAGGCAAGCAAAAACAACCTTACACATCAAAATAAAATTTAGGATAAGATCCAATTCATAATCCATTCTTTAGTACATCGACCCCACTCCACTTATCATTATAATTTATCAGACATAAATTGCATTTTCATTGGATAAGCAAACTATAGCTGCTGGAAAAGATTTTCATTTAAAGTTTATTGAAAAACATGTGACACAACAGATTTCTAATGGAATATTGTAACTCTGGGGACAATTTTTGAATAGCTGGGATATAATATCACTTGTAGAATAGAACTTGTCATAAATGAAGCACAGGGATCGTGATGGTTGAAAAATGCATCATGGTTAACCACAGACTGGGAAACAAATATTCATGTTTCCTTAATACAAATAATAAATGCTTTATTCTATTGAAATAACAGGGAAGGGAGCAGCAATTTGAAGATTATCAAATGTTGATACCGGATATATATCAATGACAAATGAACGATTGCCTGTGAGGGAAACTGACCATGCATGTTACATTGTTGTCATGTGATAGATGTCATCTAATCAGAAATTATATTATATGGATGCAGTACATGTGTATAATGAAAATAATCTTTGTTTGATAAAACACATTTTGAACAGAGAGTTAAGTATAATGTTTTAATTTAACCATATAAACACACAAAATGTCTCTCACATGTGCCAAGTACCAGCGCTGTCCTAAAAATGTACTCCGATACAATCTTGGCTTTCCTCGAGCTGATCTTTGCTTCTAACGCTGGCCAGATGATTCGGACGACTACATAAAACTGTAGACCATAGGATATAAAGATGGCCATGGCATACATCAAGTTTACTGTAGTAAACAACCTGAAACATCAATAAATGTCACCATCACTGTGCAGCATAGGATTTAGTTCATGGGTATATTGTCTATGATAACTCCAACATCCATGGTTTGACAAGGTCAAGAGTGTGAATGGCGTCAATTTAATTAATGACCAGCTGTTATTATTGTTAACAAAATGTCTTCTAAATAAAGACTTGAACAAAAACATGCGTTTCCCAAACACTCCACTAATTAGCCAATACTTTTATGCGTATTTGCTATAAACTTATTTGACCTTTGACCTAGAGGTAAATGTTCCGAAGACTTAAACGAAGTTCACTGTAAACTATCTGTGGGCGATATATGTAATGTTCAGTTTCATAAAAATCTGCTCAATGGTGTTAAATTTACAACCCAGGTAAGATTTCAAATAAAATTACGTATTTGAATTTGAACAAGAGGTGAAGGCCATCCTGACCTTATTATAATGTACTTCCCACCTTCTTTGACTGGTGCAGGTATACTTTGAATTTCATCACATTTAAAAACTTATTGCTCAGACAAATTTCACTGGAAATTTTACATGTATCTGACCTTGAAGTGAAGGTCATGGTGACCTAATTATTATGCAGTGTTAACCTCCTAGATAAATACAGGTATGCTTCAGGTTTCATCAAAATGTTTTTACCGGTTCAAAAGTTAACGATTTTATAAGAACAGTGGTTGTTGTTGATTATGTGCTCACCAATTTTTACCCGGTAGGTTCAGGGTAATACTGCCTTCTGCTTGATCGCCATATTTGAGGTAACCATAGAAACCCATAGCTGTGTAGAGACAGACAACAAAGGTCATCCCTAGGTTGAGGATACCTGCACAGCCTCCGAAGTCCTCAGGGTGTCGCATCTTGTTTTCTATAGGCATCACCTAGATAACAGACAAAAAGGTTATACTTGATAAATAGGATAAGGAGATTTACGCCTGGTGAAAAGGATGGGAATGCTTACACCTGGTGAAAAGGATGGGAATGCTCACACCAGGTAAAAAGGATGGAAATGTTTACACTTAGTGAAAAGGATTCGAAAATTTACATCTGATAAAAAGTTCAGAAAGTTTACACCTTGTAAAAAGGATGGGAAAATTTACACCTGGTGAAAAGGACAAGTAGATTAATACCTGGTGAAAAGGATGGGAAATCTTAAACCTGGTGAAAAGGATGGGAAAATGTACACCTGTTAGGAAGGATTGGAAAGTTTATACCTGGTGAAAAGAGGACAATTAACACCTGATAAAAAGGATGGGAAAATGTACACCTGGTGAAAAGGACAAGTAGATTTATTTATACCTGGTGAAAAGGATGGGGAAAGTTACACCTGGTAAAAAGAGTGGGAAAATTTACACCTGGTGAAAAGGATGGGAAAAGTTAACCGGGTAAAAAGGATAGGAAAATGTACATCTGGTGAAAAGGACAAGTAGATTCATTTATACCTGTGAAAAGGAAGGGAAAATTTACACCTGGTAAAAAGGATGGGAAAGTTTATACCTGGTGCAAAGAGGAAAATTAATACTAGATAAAATGGATGGGAAAATGTACACCTGGTGAAAATGATAAGTATATTTATACCTGGTGAAAAGGAAGGGAAAAGTTACACCTGGTAAAAAAGATGGGAAAATGTACATCTGGTGAAAAGGACAAATAGATTTATTTAAACCTGGTGAAAAGGAAGGGAAAAGTTTACATCTGGTTAAAAGGATGGGAAAATTTACACCTGATAAAAAGGATGGAAAAATGTACACCTGGTGAAAAGCATAAGTAGATTTATACCTGGCGATATAAACAGACAATAAATGGCTGGTAAACAGGACAGGTAGATTTTATACCTAGTATGTAGTACAGACAGAAATACTTTCAGTGTTAAATGCATCTGATCCATGAGAAGACAGTGGGTCAATGTCCTATGTTTTAACAAACTTAACAGTTGTCTATTCAAACAAAGAACATGTCAAATATCATGAATGTAGGCTCCATGATTCACTTGAAGAAGTAAGAAAAGATGATGCTGCATTATCACATAAGCTCACATGCACTTTTTGAAAATGAGGTAAAAACAGGGTTAATTCAAAAGCAGCACATGAAAAACTGGAAACATTATGTTACAATTACCGCATACACATCACTTACCAGGCCAATGGCCTCAAAGGCAAACATCGCTGTCCCAAAGTAAAGCGGAAGTTTATCTACGGGAAGTATAGCAGGGCGAGTGCTGACATCTGGGAGGCCCTGAACAAGCTCCTGAAACACGATCACAAGGCCCACGATCACCAGCAGGTTTGCAAATGTTGAGAATGGAGCCAGGTGTTTCAAGTTCTTCACGAAGCAGTAGGGTATAAGGAGGGCCGCTGATACCAGCAGGTAAACTTTCACGTCTGGACCATTCGAGTGGAATGAATTTACCACCTTGGACACACAAAAAAACAAATATAAACAAGAATTCCACAGGAGTGGACGTGTCGCCTGCTCAGCACTTTTAGTGAGAAAAGTGTTTTGGCTTGAGTTATGGCAAAACAAGCAAAAATTAACAGCAAAAAGGATGAACAGCGTTGCTATGTCAAGTGTGGTATGCCAAAACGCAAAAAGAAACTCTATGGAAAAACTCGTAATATGTGTTGAATATTATTGCTTCTAGCATTACCGTAAAAAATTTGAAATGAATTGATTAAAAAATAAAAAAAGTTATTACATTTACTATACAATGCCCTTATTTGGCAATAAAAGGGGCATTTCTCCACCCAAAATGCATGTAAACTTGAGTTCAATCAACCCAAGGGAATTGAAGTTATCGCACGGAAACCTTGTTTAAGATGATGCAACCAACATCGACAAAGTAATACTTATATGTCGCCTCGCATTACAGGTGACACAAAAAGTAAAGCATCAGAGGGTTTTAGCATCAGTCAACCAAGCCTAAGGGGAGTTATATAGTGTCATTTAATACTGTTAATGAGAAGAAAAGTGTACAATTAAGCCTCCTTCATCCTGTCACCACTAATTCAGTTATTCCAGCCCATGTTTCACAGGAAAGGATTTGTGGCATTTTTTATCTACGAATTTGTCCCAGTAATCAAGTTGTTTCACAAACATGTTTCATCAAATCGAGATGTCAAGCAATTGTTTATGACAAGGGAATGCCGGTCTTTACCTGAGGACAGTAGGTGGAAAAGTGGATTTTTCTTTCTAATGGAGAGAATATTAGAAAAGGATTCTCAACCCAAGGAGGGGGAGATTCTAAATTGTCAAAAATGAGGTTTTCGGAGGGTCTGGCAACTATGTAATCCTTCCCTGATGGTTGTGATCCCAAATCTGAACCCCAAGAGGATAAATCTCCTGTTAGCTCTGTCATATCTCTAATGCAATGTCGGCGTTAATAGTAAACACATTTTTGATGCTTTGTTATCATAACACAATACAATTGTAATGACTGGGGAATCCCCCCCCCCCCCTCCATATATATATATGGATATACCCGTACCTATCCGGGGTACCAGAAAATGTTATTTCCCAAAGTTTCCCCTTTAAACATCGCTAGCGAAGTAATAACAAAACATAATCAAATTTAAAATCTGAAACTTATATAAACATAAAAGTATTTATATGTACTTTTTATATAAATTTTCATACATTTTTAAGGTACATGTATAAGGAAATGCAAGTAATTGTTCAGTTTCAATAAATCAGTCTGATATACCTGTTGAATGTTCTGTGCAATAAATAGGATGTATACACAGCAGAATCCAAACTGAGTTAGAAGCAGGAAGCCGTTAATTGTGTACCTGTGGAATGAAAAAAAAGGAAAAATCAGTCACACCTTCGTCGTTTTTAGTTTACACCTAAAGCCTGTTCTGGGATTTCTTTGTGATTATTTATAGACTGTTAAAAATGAACACAAATTGACCTTTTTATCAGCATTGAAATAGGTACATGTCGTCACTTATGGAGGGTTTTTATAATCTACATCAATTGCAGATTGTTATATTATTACCTGATTGTAAGGTGCAATACAAAAAAATGGATGTCTTATCCTGGGAAGATTTTATGCCAAAATATAAAGAAAAATAAATGAAATGACATGATTCATGACGTTTCAAAGATTCAAAACTTTGAATTTAAAGTTCTGCCTCTTTAAAAATTGAATTGAATAATACTACTAAAACATTTGAGATTTTAATTTTTCTTCCATGTGTATAAGCCATAAATTCATACAAATTACTAATGCTCAATGGATGTGATAAAAAAACGTTTCTTTGGTCACTAAGCATTTTCTATTGAACAGCACAAATTCTCTCTTCAATGGATGTATATATTAAATATATGTATCTACAAAGTTGCATCTGCTCCGGGATTCCTTTGTGTCGTTCGGTTATATAGTCGGCTGTGTAATTCTGTACAAAATCTGGTCAAACTTGTTTAAACAACCACTTTTATTAAACGACCGTTTTTTAATTTCCCTTGGGTGGTCGCTTAATACAGATTCCACTATACATCTGTTTATTTGACTTTTATGTACATCATAAATAGACCATAAATCACAATGAAAGTTTTTTATTTTTAAATACAACAAGATTAGTGGTAGCTGGATTAACAAGGCCAGGTAGTGGGAAAACCAGATTAGTGGTAGCTGGATTAACAAGGCCAGATAGTGGGACAACCAGATTAGTGGTGGCTGGATTATACTTAATGGGTCTAGTTAGAGGGATCGAGGGGTGGCTGAATTAATAAGGTTAGATTGTGGGACAACCAGATTAATGGGGGCTGAATTAATGAGGTTGGATAGTGGGACAAACAGATTAGTGGTGGCTGAATTAATGAGGTTAGATTGTGGGACAACCAGATTAATGGGGGCTGATTTAATGAGGTTGGATAGTGGGACAACCAGATTAGTGGTGGCTGAATTAATGAGGTTAGATAGTGGGACAACCAGATTAGTGGTGGCTGAATTAATGAGGTTAGATAGTGGGACAACCAGATTAGTGGTGACTGAATTAATGAGGTTTGATAGTGGGACAACCAGATTAGTGGTGGCTGAATTAATGAGGTTAGATATTGGGACAACCAGATTAGTGGTGGCTGAATTAATGAGGTTGGATAGTTGGACAATCAGATTAGTGGTGGCTGAATTAATGAGGTTGGATAGTTGGACAACCAGATTAGTGGTGGCTGAATTAATGAGGTTGGATAGTGGGACAAACAGATTAGTGGTGGCTGAATTAATTAGGTTAGATTGTGGGACAACCAGATTAATGGGGGCTGATTTAATGAGGTTGGATAGTGGGACAACCAGATTAGTGGTGGCTGAATTAATGAGGTTAGATAGTGGGACAACCAGATTAGTGGTGGCTGAATTAATGAGGCCAGATAGTGGGACAACCAGATTAGTGGTGGCTTGGTTAACCAGACTCAACTGTAGTTGTGTACCATAGCAATATTTACCGGCCATGTCTGTGGAATCTCTGTAAACGAGGTGGTCCTGTTCTCAAGCTTTCTTCTAAAATCTCCGCATATCCCAATGCATAGAGTCCTTCTCGCCTGTTTAAGGCAAACAGTACTGGTCAGTTGTTTTGATTGAAGTTTTTATTTAAAATTCAGTCAAAATCAAAAAGCTATTCTTAAGATGAATCAACATACAATAAAAGAAATCCATCAAAATTGAATAATCCTCCACATAATCTGAGTTAGCCAGAATATAAAGTCACCATCTTTCATTTGACCCTTGAGAGTTATGATTTTGACTCTAAAATGGTTTGAATGGACATGTCTATTTGTCCTGTGTTCTGACCCTTCAACTTTCAGGAAAGTTATGATTTGACATCTGAAATTGCTAAATGTCAAGGGTCGACTGAAAGTTCTTACTGTGTTAAATAATCTAGACCAATCTCGGACCAATTAAAAACATATCAACTCAAAGTATGGTGATATTTCCAAAAATATTTCTGACCTCAATATGAAACAGATATACCTACCTTTTGCACAGCTTTCGGCTACAGTTGACTAACATGTGCATACAGTGTGTGGCTATGAACCCTATAACTAAGACACCAACAGGGCCGGCCTATAATAATAATAATAATAATAAAATAATTGGAGGTTCCTATATACCGCTTTATCACAACCTAGTTCGTAGAGCGTCTCAAAGCGGTTCACAAATTATTATCCGTGGTTATAGGGCCTTTGCAACCAGCCAATACATTTCTCAACTCCCTGGGGAGCATACAGCCGGAGCTGCCATTTCGGTGCTAACAACTAGCATTCAACAATTCTAGCACTGCCCAACCATGTACTCATTTACAGCTGAGTAAACTGGAACAAGCTGAGTAAAGTATCTTGCTCAAAGATACAACACATTGCCGTGCCTTCGGTCAGGAGCCCGGCGTCCTACCACTGGACTACCGTGCCTCCTATAACACACCAATCATATATACATATATACCAGGTATAGAGATATTCCTATTCTTTTTTGTTCAATGTCAATGTTTATGTACCACAGGACAGTTAAATCCTGCCTTAGGGCGCTTAGGGGATCAAATATGGTTTGAATTTATAATGATTATATGTATTTAATGTAAATCACAGTGACCAATCATTTGCGGGAACCATAGCTTCTAGACCCGATAGACCATAGATCTAGGTTAGATAATAATAAAAAAAAATTAAAAAAAAGATTGGGGATAGAAGCTACAGTTCCCGCAGCTACCAACACACTAACTTTAATGACTGCATGTGAAATAATGTGGAAGATGAAGATGATCCAGACAAGTGGTATATCACAATATTTTTGCAAATTTTGTTAAGGTCAAAGGTCAAAGTATAGGTTACAATGTCATTATTGGATTATCATGGATAAAAATAGGTCATTGACTGACCTATTTTTATCCTTGATAATCCACCTTCTCAATTGTACCAGCATTCCAACTTTGATGATTGCATGTGAAATAATTTGCTTTCCGGACAAGCAGTATCTCACATATTTTGCACTTTCAATTAAAGTTTAAGCTCAAAATGTAGGTAACATGACCTTATTTTGTACAAGTTTGACACTTTTCTGTCCCAAGTGTAACAGCATACCAACTTAAATGATTGCAGGTAAAAAAATATGAGTTGATTTACAGTGATCTTACCCATAAGCCAGCGTATTTACAAGCAGACGGCATGGCCAGAACCCCAGTGCCTATGTTACCTTTCAGCAAATGCATCAAACTGGCGAGATTCCTGTTGAAAACATCAAGTGACACAGACGTCAAACATGATAAAAATACTTATTTCAAAAATACACAAGATTGTGGATTATACTGACAAAGGGCAATCAAAGCGGGTGTAACTTTAGACTAATACCTCCCACCTTTAAGCGAATGGATAAAACTCTACAAATAGGGGAGGTAACTCCATTTCATATAATTGATTCACATCCCCTCCATTCAAATTGAGGCTGTACCTTGGGAGGTGTAGTTAGAACAACTTCTTAAACTAAGGGGCATAACTCCATAAACAGGAGAGGTTAAATTATTCCAATTATTTTGTGGTTTTTCATTGTACTGGCACAGTCTATAGCATGGAATGTTTCAGTTTTAAGAATTTTGACATGCTAAAATTAGACCATCAACGAAATACAAGATTTTATTGAAATCGGGATATCAGGCACCAATATGTTAATTAATACATGGGATAGGTATGGCTGTAAAAAGAATGCCATGGAGATTCTTAGATGTAACATACATCAAAACAGCGGTAAAATGCCTTCTGACTACCAACTCATGAAAATTATATACAAACAAGAGGCCCTCTGGCCTGTATCACTCACCTGGAAATTTGAACAATCATGGGAAAATATTCTCAATGAAAGTACTTTTGCAAATATTTCCATAAATTGAGTCATCTTGGCTTAAGAATATTCCAGACTAAATGAAACTTTATGCTTCTCTATCCCAGCAAGCTACTGGTCAAATATCGTCACCCAGGACAGGTATTGCAGAAGAAGTTGTTTAAAGATATTTACATAGTTGACCCCTGTGACCTTAAAAAGCAGGTCAATGTCATTTATTTGAGGAAAGTTTATATCATTAGTCCCATGTACCTGCTGACCAAATATCACTGCTCTAGGCCTCTTGGTTATTCAGAAGAAGTTGTTTAAAGATTTTAAACACTTTTCACTCTTGTGAGTTTGAAAGTAGGTCAAAGTCATTTATTGAAGAAACGTTATAGAACTCTGTCCCAGGTTCCTACAGCTGGTCAAATATCATTGCTCTAGTCCTCCTGGTTATTTAAAATAAGTTGGTTAAAGGTTTTTAACATATTTGTCCCCTGTGTTCTTGAAAGTAGATCAAGGTCTTTTAATATCACTCTGTCCCAGGTACCTGGTGACCAAATATCATTTCTCTATGTCTATTGGTTATTCAGAAGCAGTTGTTTAAAGGTTTTAAACACTTTTTATCCTTGTGACCTTGAAAGTAGGTCAAAGTAATTTATTTGAGTTAAGTTATAGAACTCTGTCCCAGGTACCTAATGGCCATGTATTAGTAGGGCCTCCTGGTTATTCAGAAGAAGTTGTTCAAAGGTTTTTACATATTTGACCCCAGTGACCTTGAATTGAGTTGTGGTCATTTATTTGAGGAAATTTTATAGCACTCTGTCAAATATCATGGCCCTATGTCCTCCAGTTCTTAAAAAGTAGTCATTCAAAGTTAAAGTTGACGGATGGACGACAGACAACACACCCTACCATTAGCTCAGCTCAACTGGCACACTTCGTGCCAGGTGAGCTAAAAATGAAAATATTAAGGATTATCCAATTTACTTCAGTGAGTGGGATTAGAAATTGATTTACTCTAAATGCATGAAATAACTGTTGAATACTTACGATGTACGGAGATGAACTGGAGTCTTGCTGCTGTTCTGTAAGCTACTCAGACTCTGTGTGATGTAGAGACCTTCTCCATTATCAATCTCCACTTCAATAGAAGCCGGGGAGCCCAGGGCGGCAAACGGCTGTGGTAATTCTTTTTTCCGTGTCTTTGAGGTTCCAGACCGAACATTTCCTAGGAGTGTTTCGGTCTCCAAACTTGGTTCTGGGGGTTGGGAATCAGCAAGAAGAGCTGTTGTTTCTGTTGGTTCATTGTTGGCCATTGCTGCTATGTCCTGGAACATTTTATCATGTCAATGAAGATTCTGGTTGTTCACTCTCATAATGAAAACTTTTGGAAATCCTTAATTTTTACTTCAGGGGTGTAAGATTTCATATTCAAAGACTGCAGGTTGGTTTTGAAAAGTGCTACTTAACCCACATACACTCTTATTATAAACAATAAAAAAAACCAACACTAGTCTAGCCCCAACATAAAATCTACTAGACACAGACGTTTGGCTACTGGAATTGTACACCCCTGTACTTTGACTCTAAATTATGTATTATACACATTATCTAAACTAAAGAAAAATTTTCCAGGGCACTTCACAGTCAAGGTATTATAGACATATATCTACAACACAATCAGGAAAGTGTGAGAGCAGTCTTACTCAAGCACATCTTACCACATGCTTCCCTTTAGTACCTTCATCTTTACAAATTTCCCCTTTGGTACGTATACCCCAATGTGTGTTTGTGTACATACTGGAGGATGTATAGGTGTTCTGCTTGTTCTGGGTCAGTGTTTCAAACAGCTTATTTATAGTGTCATACCATTTGGATCAATACAGCAAAGAAACTGTAGTACCCAATCCAGACCATTTTGTACTCAACTCTAGGCAGGTGAAGTTAAGCAACATGGGTTAATTTAAAGTGTCTTGCTTAAAGGAAAACAATTCAGCTGATTGTAGGAACTGAACCTAATTAAACCAGTCGATTAGCTGGCACAATATCAACCACAAGGTAATTTCACATGCTATAAAACCAAAAAGTATATATAAGCCTGGTGTCACAGTATCTATATTTAGTAGCAAGTGACGTTTCCCCACATGCTATATATGCGACCAGCATATCGAAATACTCTCATGTGTCTTTCTGACTTTAGTTCTAATGTCTTAGTCGGTCGGGTGGCACAGTGGATGATCAGACGTGAAAAGTTATGGCGTAACCTGCTAAACCACATTCGTTTTCTCTGGGAACTCCAGTTCCTCCCACATTTAAGACCCCTGCGCACTAAAATCGGAGCCAACAAGATTAATCAAGTGATTAATATAAGTTTAGATAACTTCTTTCATAATTGTTGTAAAATAAATTAAGTTTACATATGTCTATTAAGACTAAGAAAACACAGGAAAAACCTGATTTACCAGTCCATTCTACTGGATAACTTAATAGTTAATAACATCCACTGACTTTATTTATAGTTATTCTGGAATCATCTTGGGCCCAATTAGCATCAAAACTTGATTACTCAACGGGAACAAGTCCAAAGAAAAGTTGCCAGATAAGTGTATGAGAATTATACCAATGTGATTCTGAAGCTGGAGTGGTGAGACAGCGATATGCTCAAATAAACAAACTACTAAGCTTCCACAACACATCTAGGAGCCTGTCAAGCACTAGAGATATAGGATGTAGCCCCCAAGCAACCCCCTCCCTACAGCCACACTAGGTAGTGATATTACAATTACTGTATATAAAGAATGCCTGTGATATTTCTACCTGTGCGACAAATCCTTCAAGGGTCAGCTACTGAAGACAGCAAAATGAATATGACTGTAAAGACTTGATCAATATCATCAATATTTACATCATATGTTTCAATCTTACTCAAATCACAACCGTTACAAGGTTTCATCTGTCTTTATGAGAACAGTGCATCTTCAATTCATTGTCTATATCTGAATATATATATACATTATTTACGATACATGCATGATTAAATCTTAATATTTACACAACGTTGCGAAACCTAATTAGCCATATGATCAAGACTTATGTTTGAAACAAATTGTCATTTTTCCCCGCGTAGAAGTTTCACATTAACATCTTGTCTGAGCAACTTTTTAATTTCAGTCACATGTTATGATATTTATGAGTCATCTATCCTTCAACTTCAGCTTCAGAAGGTACCTTTAAACACAAGTTTACAAACAAGGTTTAGTGTGATCTGTTTATATCCCGTTCGTTTTCCTCGTTGACATGTTTTCATCTGAATATAGTGCTGTCTCTCATGGGAATTCTTCAGCCTTCCAAGATATTGTACCTAACTTAATCTTACGGGAGCTCCTGAAGGGGGTATCCAGTCACATGATCGCCGTTTCTATATTTAGGCCCAATCACAAATATTGTATTGTATTGCCACCTAGTGAGAAAATGCCGTCATCTGTAAGAGTTACATACCCTTGACCATACTTCGTTATATTCACCATCACGTCGCGGAGAGTTGCAAGAAGGAGTTGAATATCGTTCAAATAACAATTTGCCAAAATAAAGTTTAAAAATAAATAAACAAATCGTTATTCTCTTATCAAAGCTTATCAAATACTCAGTTAAAATTTTACCTTGTGATTTCTAAAACATTTAGGGTTATGTATATCTGGGTTATCTAGAGATAAACCGATATTTGGACTGTTTATGGGATCTTTCTAAACTGAGTCAATAAATTTGACATTCAATGCATTCCTTTTGAATTTTAATTATGCATCCGATTTCTACATATTTTTAAAACGACTTCACAAAGTTTGTTCTGGAGATATGCCTTGATCATATAGAAACTATACTACATACGCTGTTTGGCTTTATACGTCTCTGATCTTTAATCCCATGCCAAGTTTAAATTGTAGATGATAAATAAATTAATAAAGGTATATTAAATAAAACCATGATGGACATCGATGACCAGCGCAATTCATTGTTGCATTGTTTGAGTTTTGAAGGGTAGATGAGGGTTCGATTCCCGGGTTCAGGGATCAGATGCCACAGCCGGTTCGCTTAGAAATAAAGATCTTACAAACAGAGAGAAGACAACTACATGTAGTATAATATGCGATAATCCGAAATACCTATCTCATTGAAAAATGATAAGGCGGATATATCTCTGTCCCGTCAAAACACAATTTAAAAATAGAAAGCGATAGTCAGTTATTTGAACTTACTTATTTCGGATTTTTTTTTAAATCGTCAGTGGCGAATTCAGAGACAATTCTTGGTGAAAACACTGAATTAGCTTATTTTGCTATCTAAGTCCGTGGTGAAAGGAATAGGATTTCAAATTCTGTTGGAGGAGAGGGGAAAACAACTAGCGATAAAAAATACACACACACGAAAAAATAGGTATTCTCATGCTGAGAGAGGGAGGGGCAGAAACCCCCTTTATAGATTCGCCACTGTATATATGTGATATCGTGATGGTGAAACTTACCTGACCGTGTCACTCGTTGAAGCGAGAAATCGAAATGAATACACGCATTGCTGTAAGGATTGTCCGTGTATGTACATGCCCCAGTTAGCATACCTAATACAACATTAATATTAACCCCATATTTTGCAGACTCACATCTCTCCTGTTAAGTGTACGTGTACTTTCAGCTGGTAAATAGTGTCCTCGGTGCTATGGCTATCGTCATAATTGAATTTCATTTGGAAAATTTTAGTCGATATAGGTCATGAACAAACTCTAATAGTATAGCATGTTTGAATCATGATGAGAAATAACAAGAAAACGAAAATCCACAAAAATAATTTACAAGATATCATGCATAACATGGTGGCCGTCCTCGCCGACATCCTTTGGGAACCAAATAGGAGAATTTAACGTGGTTCAAACAAAAATCAGTTAAATTAGTAACATGTAACATCACGGACTTAGAAAGTTAATGTAATTCCGTGGTAACACGGATATTTATAATTTTTCATTTGTACCGCGCAATATCCGGGTTTGGAAGTTATTAACAGGCTCAGTGGTTAACTGTGACAAGAACGATCAATTCAAGAGCGCCCTAACACAGTTTTGGAAATATGATTAGGTCTTCAGCGCACACCCCTCCAAACCGCGATAAGAAGTATCACGGAATTGTTATCTTAGTCCGTGGTAGTATTCATTAGTGAGAAAACATACAGATACAGTTAATTTAACTGTATCTGTAACACTAATAAAAATAAAAATATTGTTACAGATACAGACTAAATTTCAGTGGCGGACCCAGAGGGACTACCATGACTCTACCTAATCTTATTGTTCTAATGTTACGGTGTGATGATCACCCAGTCTGTTGGGAGAGGATATAGGTAAAGTGTTATTTCAAAGGTACTGAACCAATGTTAGCATAAAAGCCTGGCATGTATATCTCCTTTTCAATTAGGTGTTGCCCTTGTACGTACTATGTATGCGTACCATTTCACAATATCATAATTCATATTTATGACAAAATAAATCAATATCTAATTGCCAAAATGCTCGCCTAAACTACATGTGTACACATGAAGTTTCGCGCGCATTATCAGCTGAATGACCATTTTAAGAGCATGACACAAACATCAACATTTTAACCAAAAATCTACATTTATACAGAAACGTACATACTATGGTTTTATATGTCGCTGATTTATACCATTTTATTACAGAATTTGTTAACACTCGCTCCGCTCGGCCATCATAAAATATAAATACTTTACGTTATAAGATATAGCCTGGAACAATACCGCAAACTCAGAAAACTATTCTGCACCTCGCTCGATCTAGTTGTCAATGGAAATAATGTCAAATACATTCTTGCTTTCTACGCTCGGCAGTGCCTGAAATAGTTTAGTAATGCATATATTTAGAAAATAAAAATTCGCCTCGCTCCGCTAAGCGGGGAAATAATTATTGTCCCAATCACAGAAAAAATGAAGTTCTATATATTTTTTTGGTGGCAGAAAGTAGAACCGACATGACAATTCAAATTTAGTAGTTCTAGATAAGGGCAAAAACCTGTCTTTTTCTGAGTTTAGAACTTTGGGCAACACCCAAAATTAATTACTGGGTGCCCCGACCCCATGCATTTGATGTTTTGGACATACTTTTTGTGTCGTAGATCGATAACTTACGATATCTAATATGGTATCTATGTTAGGCATGTATTTGTATATTTCAGATTATTGATACACTGTATTAGATAATTAAGAAATACACACACGTGCCGTAGATCGATATCGTAACATATGCATATATATATTAGTTTATGACGTCACAACATATACTTCAAATAAACAGTCTGAAGAATAAGACTCGTCGTTAAGATTTTTTCTTTTTATAATATTTCTTCGTCCGTAAGGATCATTTTTCTGATTTATCATATATATATATATAGATAAGGCACGTATTTGCATATTTTAGATGATATATATTTTATGTGTTGCAAAGGAGAGTGTGTACTTCTATTTGTTTATGCATATATAGATCTACTTCGTTTTCCACATAAGTAATTTTAATTTTTCTTTATCATTTTAGATATAACAATAAAAAGATCAATCTATAACGTGTTATGCCAAGTTACATTCTACATCGCGATATCTTAAGAAATGGGAATTGGCCCCGAATACAGACAGGACTTGAACAAGTCTACATCGAAAATTCCATGACGTCACTGTCCACGAGGTAAAGAAATGCGGAATTGGCCCCGAATCAGCATATTCTAATACTAACAATGAATTATCTCTTATTTTTTAATCATATCAAAGCAGTTCTTGGTGTATGCATACTGCAACTAATGTGAAATGATAATAAATTATATGTTTCTTATTTATGTTCAATTCTTTAGAGGTACAATTTGGTTATTATTGAGATCATTTGTGGAAATATGCCGCTCGAAAGAGCAAAAATATATCGTGACGTCACACTACAGCCACCTCGAAGGAAATTATCTGAGAAAGAAGGAAGTCGGTCACAAAGGACAATATTAGTATCATTTGCCTTTTTGTGAGACTTAGCAAGACTTCTTGATATTTGAAATAACACCTGGAACATTTCGTTGGTGTTGAAATCTCGCTTCGTTTGGTGCTGAGCCACACAACGGCATTCAGGCGATTGTACTTTTGTCTTCCCGAACGGACGAACTGGAAGCTATGAAGGAAATGCCAATGACACACATCACCGATACAACAGGTTTGTGATGTCATAGACATACGTGTCTGAGTTACAAGTTGATTATTTCAAGTGAACTTAATAATTAATATGCGTGGTAAACGGTATGTAAATTCAAAGAAAAATATTCTGTGGTATTTTATTTGGGGGAGGGGGGGGGGGGGGGGGGGGGCAACGTTTAATCGTTACTGTGTTGTTGTGACTAGATTAGGCTATATAATCGTGGAATTCGAAACTTGTCACTTGAGTTTAACTCTACCAACCAGACAGCATATTTAAAACTGTATGGATATTATTTTGCACATTTGATATGTAATTTTGCTATGAACACGTTTTATTGGTTACACAGTTATCTGCGCCTGATTTAATCAATAATTCATTCTTTATAAATCCAGGTAGGGTTCAATCACAACACGCTCAAGCGCTACCAATAGGTGGGTTTTTATTACGGTCAACTAGTTTCGACTCTACGTGCGAGTCTTCATCATTCTTTATCAAAGGTTTGGCCAAGAATGAATTATTCTACTTGTACACTGGGTAGTAGCCTATATTGTATTCATAGTAGCCCATTTATCACAGGTTTCGTTAAGCATGTAGTTGTCTTTCCTCTTGTATAGTCATTTATTTTTATCTTTTATCACTCAGGTTTGGCTGAGCTGGCACATAGAGAGTACCAGGCAGGAGACTATGAAAACTCGGAGCAACATTGCATGCAGTTATGGAGACAAGAACCAGACAACACTGGAGTATTGCTACTTCTCAGCTCTATACACTTTCAGTGTCGTAAATTGGAAAGGTAATATTAAAACATCAGTCCAAGGCAAACTTTAATTTGACGTGTACCCTTAAGATTATTCCAATATCGCCACTTAAAAGAAAGTGTTTCATATGTTACAAAGCAAAGCTTTTTCTGTTAAATAAAGAAGTGTTCCCTGCCACAGTGTGACTGAAGCAGACGACAGCAAGGGAATGCAAGCTTGATATTTGCTGTTGTGTTATTATTCTAATACACTACTTTAAATCATAAATGTCCCTATGGCAGGAAAATTTGATTCTTTGCCCTTGTGAAATATGTTTTATCAAATGGAATAGGGGCGAATGGACAATATTACTATGTTACAGTCCTTGTTTACATGAACACTGAGCAGTTATTGATTTAAGTTTATTATTACAGTCGAACCTCGTTATCTCGAACTTGTATAACTCGAAGGCCCCGTTTAACTCGAAGTATTTCATCGGTCCCGGCCAAAACTCTTCTTAATCTTAGTAATAAAAACTCTGATAATTCGAACTCTGAAAACTCGAAAAACTCGGATATCCCGGAGTGAAACATCGGTCCCAACAACGTAAATCCTACATAAAAATATCTCCTACCTGGAATTTTCTTAAGATTCACAAGTCTATCATATATTCTTTAATTATTTGATACATATTAGGCGCAGTGCTACGGTAAACATTGTTCTCATAGAGCAGCTTACGCTCGGTCATAATTACCTCGATTAAACTTATGGCATTAACATGTGTTTGACTGTAAAAACACTTTGTACAAATAAAGAAACAAACTTCATCAATGTTGATTAACAACAATTAGTACTTACTGCGAGCCCGTTAACAATTTGAATAGCACTTTATTTACACCAAAGTTGTATTTCTATCAGCATATCACGAGGTCGGAGACAGCATGTGTGTTTATTGTAACATTAATTAATTAATGAATATGATTATGAATAAGTTATTTTTTATTTTATATAGTTATCTTTTTGTCATTTATCGACTGTTTAAATACGTTGATTGTCAGAGAAATCAATGACATATATAGCCTCATATTGGACCAAACACTTTACCAAGCTTTATGCAAAACATAGGAACTCGCTTAACTCGAATAACTCGAAGTTTCCCAACGATCCCGTCGACTTCGAGATAACGAGGTTCGACTGTATTTTTTTTTATATATATTAAAGAAGTCCTCCTTAATGTGTGTTAATGAATTTTTGATAAAGGTTTGTTATTAAATTTCTATTTGTTTAATTAACAGGTCAGCTTATTTCAGTCAACTTGCTATTAAGCAGAATTCTATGCTTGCGGAAGCCTACTCAAACTTGGGAAATGTATACAAAGAAAGAAGACAACTCCAGGAAGCATTGGAAAACTACAGACATGCTGTCCGATTAAAGCCTGATTTCATCGATGGTTACATCAACTTGGCTGCTGCATTAGTAGCTGCCGGAGACATGGAGCAGGCTGTCCAAGCTTATGTAACTGCCCTGCAGTATAACCCAGTAAGTTTTATATTGTTATTTATGGGATAAATATAATATGGGATTTAAGGGCAGATTGGACGAGTGGTTAACACTCTAGCCTTCCAGGCAGGCGGCCGGGGTTCGATCCCAGAAGTCTTCATACATAGTGATTAATGTATATATGTTAATTCAATAATTGTATTTATTGTATTTATTGGATTTATTGTATATCTACGTATTTTAAAGCACTTTAGGGTGTCTTGTTCTAGCTAGATAGGGCGCTGTATCAAATGTTGTATATTATTAAAATAAATTGGCAGTTCCTTTATTTTTGATACAGAAGTATAGAAAGGTTTTTTTTGACACAAGTCCAATCAAACATGTTCTTGATTTTTAGGACTTGTATTGTGTGAGGAGTGACCTTGGAAATCTGCTGAAGGCGCTGGGAAGATTAGATGAAGCAAAGGTATGGTTTAGATCTGTGGTGGCAAATAAAACATCACAGAGACTAAGATCAGGGTGAACAGCATCTGTACCACTGCCTATGTCATGCCTCAGTTATTACAGAGGAACTTTGACTCATTTTGACATGAAGAGGGACCATGATCCTATTAGTTAATTCTTGTATTTTACGTTGAAAAATATTATTCACAGGATCTGAAGCTTGTTGGTTCAAAAACATGTAACCAAAAGACATGATCTACAGATATTTCATCAAATTGTTTGAGGTTACATTTGTAACAAATCCAGTCACTGCATTTTCAGGAACTACACAGTCCTATGAAATATGACAGTTCTGGAGTTAAAAAAAAATATGAAATCCTCTCATCTTAGTTGTTGCCTTAAGATGTGTTGTTGACCTTCAAGCTGCAGACAGACATTTACTTTATCAAGTAGATGTAAATAATTTAGCCCAAGTGCTATCATTATGTATGATGGAAAAGTTTTGAAGTGGTATGTTCAGTCAACTGTGGATATCTTTATGAGTTAGTTACACCAAAAGCAAATGTTTTATATAGTTACACGTCTTGCAGAAATTACATAATTCATGTCATTTTCTGCGAGATTTCTAAAACGTGTATTTCAGTTTGACATTTTTGGCGATTTAAGAGAAGAAATCCACATGTACTTACACATCTTGCAGAAATTACATAATTCATGTCATTTTCTGCAAGATTTCTAAAACGTGTACTTCAGTTTGACATTTTTGGCGATTTAAGAGAAGAAATCCACATGCAATGACTGAATGCATCGCTATCAATTTTTAGACAAGTAGCCAATGTTGCAGTGGAAAGAGGAGTTGGACACGGACTTCTGTGAGTCTCCGTACAAGGACAAAGTCTGCTTAGAAAATCGCTTGTTATACATCAACAGCTCATCTGAAAACAGATTTTAAATAATCAGTAGATTACTTTTTTTACCATATTATATGAGACATTGACTGCACCGATAACACAAGTCTTGCGACAGTGAAAGGTTTTTCATTTATTTTCGTTTGTTTGTTAGAATTTGTCAAACATTTCTGTGGATTCTTGCGCTGACCATTTTGTTGTGTTTTATGTAGGCATGCTGGATGGATGTAGTGCCACTGATTTGCCCTTATTTCTACCTTGACTTTGTCCTTGTACAGCCATCACAGAGACATTTATTTCACACCACTCTGATAGGAACATGCATTCCTCTTCATGGACGTTACACAAATCTAGGAACAAATAATCATGTTTTTGTATCATTTGCCAAGGAAATTGATTCATTATTAGACCAAGTGATAATGCTTGAACTGACTACAAGTTCATGGACAAGCTACTAATGTTTATTTCACACCTTATATTAATCCATTTTCAATTTTTTCTTTACGATTTCCGTACTAGATATATGTGAAGCCAGTAACGATCAAAACGTACCAAACAGGTTTTTGTGTGCCCTTTATGACGGCTGGCTGACAGGAGACGTCAGAGACGGGTATGCTTTACAATGGTAAATACTGGTACTACCCACTCAGGGTCAAAGATAAGAGGTATTGTATACTATACTCATCATGTATTCATGTTTAGGTGCAATTCCAGTGTGAAAATTCAACTTTGAAAAAAATAATGGCAATTGTAACAACTCAAATATTGTGGAAACTAACAAAAAAGTAAAATCCAAATTTTGAAGTTTGAAGAATTTTATTTTTATTTTTGGCAAACCATTTAGATATGAACTGGTCAAGAAAAAGTTTGCAGGTTATCAGACACCAATTCAAAGAGATATTATCTGATATTTACCAAAATTTCAGATTTTATCCTCCGGTTTTTCCATTATTTCCCCACCGGTTCTTTTTTGCTTGCGCGCGTTCCCTGTTGCGCTGCGTTAAGGCGCTAGCGGTCGCTTGCAAAGACCTACTTGTATAAATCAACTGTCAATGTTTTCAAATAAATCTCTTTGCTTTCTAGTTTTCAGATAATCTTCATAAGTTGCGAGGAATAGGAATGCAGATGAGCAGAACTTATTTTTGAACAGTAGATATGCGCTGCTGTTTTCCAATTCATAAAAGAAAAAGATTGAAACAAAATAGATTATTCTGAGAAAATACATGCAAGAAATATGCAAGTATGTCTTGTTGCAACTCAGTTTCATCGAACAGAATGAAACTTCCAAGACCAGGTCATCAGAATCATTTCCGATAATAACTCAGCAAAGTTAATTCTACTATTGAAGAATGATCTGGTCTCTAGTTTCACGCTGGTCTTATGTACAGAGCCAATGATTTTAGCAAAAGTACAGAGGAGGTTGAAATTGAAAAATTGTCTGAAGTTTGATCTATGAAATGTTTATCGTTTAAAACTCTGGTGCACTGCTTCTAATCCATGGCTCTTGTGACTTTTTCAAAACTGATGTTGCAAGAACTGCGCTCTGCGGACGTTTCTTTGCGGCGAGCCTTTGCGCTAATTTGATAACAAAGTGTTTTTTGTCTAAAATATTTTTTTTCTCTCCCCACCCCCCTCCTCTCTATATAGGCATGCTATTTAAAGGCCATAGAAACGCAACCTAACTTTGCCGTGGCCTGGAGCAACTTGGGATGTGTTTTCAATGCTCAGGGAGAAATCTGGTTGGCCATTCACCATTTTGAAAAGGTAGGTTCATCATTTATAAATCTTAAAACCTTTCGATAGATGTGTAATTTTTAGAGTATAAAATATTTTTTAGGAATGAGAAAATGTTAGCTCGAAATGTATTTATTTTTCAATTTTTGAGCATTTTTGTATAATGTCTGAAAGTAATAATATTGAGGAAATGAATGGTATAAAAACAATTTGGATTTAAAGCTCAATTAGATATAATAACATTTCATCACTCAAGACCGGTAAAATAATTATTTATATTGATGTAAATATTATTGATGAGATATTTCTGAATTTCAGGCTGTTGCTTTAGACCCAAACTTTCTGGATGCTTACATCAACCTAGGAAATGTTTTAAAAGAAGCAAAAATATTTGACAGAGCTGTAGCTGCGTATCTACGAGCGTTAAATCTAAGTCCGAACCATGCAGTAGTCCATGGCAACCTGGCTTGTGTCTACTATGAACAGGGGTAAGAATATTTTGATGGTAGTTGTTTGCATTTGCTGACTTCTGCATTATCTAATATGACAAATCATTGAAAAAGATTATTAGAAACCATATATATAGTAAGGCCATATTCTTATATTCATTTCATTATTCACAGATTGATAGATCTGGCAATTGACACATACAAGAGAGCCATAAAACTACAACCAAACTTTCCCGATGCGTATTGTAACTTGGCCAATGCTCTGAAGGAGAAAGGAAAGGTAAGAAAACTTTTTCAATGGAAGATAACTTTCAGACTTTCAAGTTTATTTTCTTCAAGAATAGGTTTATATATTATTAAATATAAGACATTAATACAACATACTTGATTGATCTCTGTTGTAATACACCACTTTGTAAAAGAGATACTGGCCTGAAAAGTAAGGTTCAAAGTATCACATTGTTTACATTTGCTTCTAAAGGTGGCTGAGGCAGAAGAATGTTATAACACTGCCCTTAAGTTGAGCCCAACACATGCAGATTCTCTGAACAACTTGGCCAATATCAAACGGGAGCAGGGAAATACAGAAGAGGCTGCACGATTATACCTGAAGGCTTTGGAGGTATACCTTTCATTTCAATTTTGTTTTTGATTTATTGGCTTTTAAATCCTTGGTGACGAGTTGTTTTTTGGCCTTTTTGGACCTACCCTCAAAAGTTTCAAACAATTTGTTTTCAAGTTTGATCAATATATAATTATAACATATCTAATGGGGGGAAAATATTTGGGCTGCAAATTGTACACAATTGTATAGATGCACAGCATTTACATACATAAAAAAAGTGAAATCCTTTCTTTTTGATCCTATTCTCAAAACGAATACATATTGGGTAAAACTAATGATTGAATAGTAAAATAAATGTTGTTCATATCTTCCTGATGTACTGCTGAAAATTATTTGGAATCAGATGTTTGAGATACTTGATTTTTCTGCTAGGTGTATCCTGAGTTTGCCGTGGCACATTCTAACCTGGCCAGTGTCTTACAACAACAGGGTAAACTCCACGAAGCACTGATGCATTATAAAGAGGCTATTAGGTAAACATCGTATCTAATCAGAAATTATGTAGAAATGGTCTTTAATGGGTTTGAAAGAACGTTTTAAACTAAGTGTGCATGGGCGACTATCCGCAACCATGGCACCTTGTTTTGTATCTCTAAACAGGTCTTCTATATCTTGTATATTGTTCGTGATAACCCTCAGTAAAATTATTGTTACCTACATATTTTTGAGAAATAAATAAAACAAGAAGACGGAGAGAAACCTTCAGGACATCCTTATACTAATCAATATTTGTGTTGCTTAACAGTTTCTATTGCTATGAGTAGAATAAGCAATTTAGCAACCAAAATTTGATTTATGTTTACAAAGTTACACATAAATAAATGTGTGATTTTTTTCAGAATCTCACCAACGTTTGCTGATGCATACTCTAACATGGGTAACACACTGAAGGAGATGCAGGATATCCAGGGGGCGCTGCAGTGTTACACGCGTGCCATACAGATCAACCCCGCATTTGCTGATGCTCATAGTAACCTGGCATCAATTCACAAGGTAGGTACCTATTTGTCCTGAAAGTTGTTGCTTATTTCATACGCACCCAAACACTCTTGAACACACATACATATTCTAAAAGCTGGCTGGTACATTGGAATCCTAACTTAAAACATTTTCAATAAGAAAGTAATTTAATAGTCTTGTAATGTTGTACAGGATGAATCATTCTTGTAAATTCAGTTAAATAACAAAAAAGATTCGGAATGAATTGATAAGGACATTTAGATAGTGGAATATGACAGGTCCAATTCAATTTATTTCAATATTTTCAGTAAATCTTTCATATAAAACACTTTTACAAAATTTGTCAAATGCATCTCAAGGTTACATATTCACACTTAGTCATCAGTATTAAACATTGCTTTTACAGTGGTTATCTCCGGTAATTTATGGACAGGTATGTCGAGGGTGTCTCTTCATATTTCTGATGGATTTCAAACTTAGACAGAGTGTTGAAATGAGTCCTTTAATCTATTTCTGGTTATAAATTCAATAAATAAAAAATACATTTTGATTCTCAATGAATCGGTTATGTACTACTAACAAATTGTATTAGAATTCCATCAAATGGCTTAAATTGGCCAAAAAACCATCAAACTCATTTCAGCATTAGTCTTAATAAAAATGGTTCCGAATGTAATCTAAAGTATAAATGGTTTTTAAGCATGAAATGCATAGCAGAGTTCATTCCAAAAGCCTAGCGTTGGCTACCTCTTCAAGAACAGAAACAAAAAAAAGTCAGTTGGTTAATGTCGACTTTCACCAAAGGTTAGATTTATGCTTCTTATCTTCTTCCATTGTTGATATTTGTATTGCATGATTACTTGTATCATCAAAGCTTGTAAAACACTGGAATGAAATCTGCTAGTTCTGATGTTGAAGACCGAATGCAGTTTGAGAGTGGTGGTAGTGCAGAAAAGTTGTTAACATTGGTTTTGTATATTCAAATTTCTTGGTATTATATTTGTTGATCATACAACTGTTAGGAACTGATCATAAGATGCAGATGTTGTAAGGATTGATGATGGATTTTTTTTACAGGATAAAAGTTATAAAACTCTTGCACAAATTGCATATGCAATTTTTCTTTCAGGATTCTGGTAACATCCCTGAGGCGATATCCTCCTACAGAACAGCACTGAAGCTAAAACCAGACTTTCCTGATGCCTACTGTAACCTAGCCCACTGTCTACAGGTAGGTTGTCATCTCTTCATACAAACTGTAACCTAGCCCACTGTCTACAGGTAGATTGTCATCTCTACATTCAAACTAACCTAGCCCACTGTTTACAGGTAGGTTGTCAACTCTACATACAAACTGTAACCTAGCCCACTGTCTACATGTAGGTTGTCACCTCTACATACAAACTGTAACCTATCCCACTGTCTACAGGTAGGTTGTCACCTCACCTCACAACCTGTAACCTAGCCCACTGTCTACAGGTAGGTTGTCATCTCTTCACATAACTGTCACCTAGCCCACTGTCTACAGATAGGTTGTCACTTCTGCATACAAACTGTAACCTAGCCCACTGTCTACAGGTAGGTTGTCATCTCTTCATACAAACTGTAACCTATCCCACTGTCTACAGGTAGGTTGTCATCTCTTCACATAACTGTAACCTAGCCCACTGTCTACAGGTAGGTTGTCACTTCTGCATACAAACTGTAACCTAGCCCACTGTCTACAGGTAGGTTTTCATCTCTACAAACAAACTGTAACCTATCCCTCTGTCTACAGGTAGGTTGTCATCTCTACATACAAACTGTAAACTAGCCCACTGTCTACAGGTAGGTTTTCATCTCTACAAACAAACTGTAACCTATCCCTCTGTCTACATGTAGGTTGTCATCTCTACACACAAACTGTAACCTAGCCCACTGTTTACATGTATGTTGTCATCTATACACACAAACTGTAACCTAGCCCACTGTTTACAGGTAGGTTGTCATCTCTACATACAAACTGTAAACTAGCCCACTGTCTACAGGTAGGATGTCATCTCTACAAACAAACTGTAACCTATCCCTCTGTCTACATGTAGGTTGTCGTCTCTACACACAAACTGTAACCTAGCCCACTGTTTACAGGTAGGTTGTCATCTCTACACACAAACTGTAACCTAGCCCACTGTCTACAGGTAGGTTGTCATCTCTACATACAAACTGTAACCCCTGCTGTGTATTAGTTTGTTGCATCATTACTAGTCAATCTCAAAAAGTCATGTTAGTATAACAAAATCTTGGATAGCCTTGTTATAGCCATTAAATGGAATTTACATTTGTGTGTTTTAGATTGTTTGTGACTGGACGGACTACGGTGTGAGGATGAAGAGACTGGTACGGATTGTCCAGGACCAGCTGGAGAAGAATCGTCTCCCCTCAGTCCATCCTCACCACAGTATGCTTTACCCACTCACACACCAGATGAGGAAAAACATTGCAGTGCGGCATGCCAACCTCTGTCTGGAAAAGGTAGCTTTTATTAAACGAATGTTGAGAATATGTTAAATTTTGATCTTCAAAGACTGTGTACTACTGAACAGATCTGTATTCTGTATAAATGTAGTGTAACTTGTCATATAGATCTATTCAACAATAAAACTTTTAACAATAATTACAAGCTAAAATATATGAATTTTAAAACAACAACAAAATGTAGGGCATGATTGTAATTACAAGTAATACTCTTTATTTGTTCTTGATAACTATTCTAATTGCGAAGATGAAAGTATTTCATTAAAAATAATCCATTTTCTCCTATTTGTAGATAAATGTGTTGCACAAGCCGGCATATGATCATGTGACAGACACCAGAGCCAGTGGTGGTCGGCTGAGGATCGGCTATGTCAGCTCTGACTTCGGCAACCACCCAACTTCACACCTAATGCAAAGTATTCCGGGCTTCCATGACCGCAAAAACGTAGAGGTGAGTCATCAATAAAGAAAAGACCAGATTTAAGTGTATCCTTGAGGGTGGTAAATACAGCTTAGAAATGTAGAAAATAAAATGATGGGGAATTGAAAATGGGAACAGCTATGATGCAGGGGTGTATAAATCCACTAGCCCGACGCCCGGGGCTACCAGATTTTTAGTGAAATTTAGAGGCTTACTAGTACAGGGCTAGTGAATTTTTTAGGATGTCGATACTTACAAAGTTGCTTCTATTCTATTCTATCATCAAGAGGGTAATCAATTAACATTTTAAACCAGTACATTCCTGGTAATTTTCACTACAATATCTTTCAAAACACCTGGAGTCATTCACACTGTATTGATGATGAATGACGTTCTGTTGCCTTTCACTTGTGTGCTATGTGTGATAGTAGGCACTATTCACCACTTAAATAGCATTGAAAGTCTATACTTACCACCATTATTGCCCTCTTTGTTGCAAATCATTCTCTTTTATTTTACTTAAGCATGTGGGGTACAGAAATAAAGTTTGTCCCTCTAATATTTGAAACCGGTAACTGGACTGATTTTCAGGAAGAGTAAAAATAAATTGGGGTAGTTTTTCAATAGCTTTAAAGACATTCAGGTTATATTAAACATTTTTTTTACACTCCTGTGATGAGTCTTGTTCTGTTTATTACAGATTTTCTGCTATTCCTTGAGCCCAGATGATGGTACATCATTCAGAACAAAGATTTCCAGGGAAGCAGAACACTTCATAGACTTGTCTCAGGTAAGTAACCAACCATTTCATTCACAGTAGCTTCTTACCAACTGTCGAATAAACGTGTTACTGATCCCATCAGTAAAATAATGAGGATCTAAAAAGCATTTGGACATATATGACTGTTTATATGCACTCGTTTATGATGTGATGTCTGTTTGTAGATACCATGCAATGGGAAAGCTGCAGACAAGATCCACGCAGACGGCATACATATACTTGTCAATATGAACGGCTACACCAAGGGAGCAAGGAATGAGCTGTTTGCACTGCGACCAGCTCCTGTACAGGTGATGTGGCTTGGCTACCCAGGGACTAGTGGGGCGTCCTTCATGGACTACATACTGACTGACCAGACCACATCACCTCTCAAGCTCGCTGACCAGTACTCGGAGAAGCTGGCTTACATGACCCAGACATTCTTTGTGGGTGATCACAAACAGATGTTCCCCCACCTGACGGACAAAGTGATAGAGGAGGTCAATGGTGAAGTGTGCGACAACAACATCGTCTACAACGGTGTTGATCTGGAGCCACTGATGAAGACTGGAAATGTTAACTACACGACAAATGTATGTGAGAAAGGCTTCTCAACAGATGAAACTGACGGGTCTCCGGGTGTAGTCACATTCAAGAGTATGACTCTACAAGTAGCACCAGTCCTAGAGGCTATGATAAAGAACAGCATGCCTTACTCCTACATCAATAACATCGGCATCCAGAATGGAGTTACAACCACACAGGTATTTAAAGGATTCAAGCTCTCAAATATTTTGATATGATTAGACTCGCAGATATCGAATGTCCTGTTAATAAACACAAATTACAACATAATTCTGTACTCAACATTGATTAAAGGGATGCTACAATCTTGTAGCTTGGTTGCTGATGTGTGATTGTTTAAACTTATACTTGAAGATTACAAAAAAAAAATCAACTTAGGACACTCTTTATTATCTAGAGCTATATATATATATATATATATTGTAGACGAACAACAAGTCAGCAACAGGAGAGGAAGTGCCAACCAACATCATCATCACGGCACGCAGTCAATACAGCCTGCCCAGTGATGCGGTGGTGTACTGTAACTTCAACCAGCTGTACAAGATTGACCCAGACACACTGGACATGTGGGTGGAGATCCTGAAGCGTGTGCCCAACAGTGTTCTGTGGCTGCTCCGTTTCCCTGCGGTAGGCGAGCCCAATGTCGTACAGGCTGCTATCAATGCGGGACTTGGCCTAAACCGCATCATTTTCTCACCTGTAGCTCCAAAGGTAATTCATATCCTCACCTGTAAATGTCAATTATTCAAAGTAGATCTGAAGATACTTTTCTTGATGTTTCACTCTGGTTTATATTCTCATCTGAGTTCTCTTGTTAATGATTTTGTGTTATGTCCCAGTTAATTTCTTAACTTCATTTTCCTCCAAAAATGTCAGTCAAGAAATAATTACAATGTTGTTTAAATACAGTATCAGTATCTTCATCCTTATTTCCCATTATCATCATTAGGAGGAACATGTACGTCGTGGCCAGCTGGCTGATGTATGTCTGGACACACCCCTGTGTAACGGCCACACAACTGGTATGGATGTGCTCTGGGCAGGAACTCCTATGATCACACTTTTAGGTGAGTCACTTTGGTCTGGGTATTATAGAAATATTTAGAGGTGGGTTTGATTATCCTGTTTAAAATTTCTGACACATTAAATATACTTCTAAATTAAGTTTATCAGCCAAATTTCTTTCTGAAATACTTTCTGTTGTCAGAATAATCAAATAATGCATGCTGGATACCAATAGTGATGGCTGTTAGGTTACATCAAAGGACCTTGGTTACATAGTGCTATTGTCTAACATCCGGCAGTCTGTTGGAGAAAAACAGTGTTTTCGCTGATAAAGTCAAGATATCCATTTGTGTTTTAAAACCAAGATAATTAATAATTTCAGGAGAGACACTCGCCTCCAGGGTGGCATCCTCCCAGCTGTACACACTAGGCTGTCCCGAACTTGTCGCTGAGTCTCGTGACGATTATATCAACATTGCAGCTAGCCTTGGCTCCGACAAGGAATAGTAAGTAGTTGAAATGAATTTGCATTTAATTTTCATTGAAAGAAAACAAATGTATTTATTTTTCTCGTGGATAATTAAAACCCAATGAATTTCAATGAAGTTTTATGGAGTTATTATGTAGACTTACAAAGTCCTGATATTTCAATGAAAGTGATTCTTCTTTTCAAGATAAACTGTTTCTGTATATTAAGGTTCTTAGTTACAGTGCAGGAACATTTTCTTCAGAATTATTTTGTCTACAAAAGTTTAAACTAATGAAATAGTTGAAAGAATGTACCCAGTAAAAGTGTAAGAAAGTTCTCGCACTTTTCACTTTGTTTTCTTCATTTATTTATGTTGATTCCATAATAAGAGTTGTAACAATGGTTAAGTGTTCAGATTTGTATAGCAGTCCTTGCAGCAATTAAGTTGACTGTGTTGTATTGCAGTCTCAAAAGGATAAGAGCCAAGGTGTGGAAGGCCAGACTGACAAGTCCACTCTTTAACTGTCAACACTACGCAAGCAACATGGAGGGTCTGTACACCAAGATGTGGCAGAGGTACGAGGAGGGGCTGGAGCCTGACCACTTGTCTGTCCACTGACAATTGTGTGTGTAACTGTGAACGTTATCTGTGAGGCAATGGACATTCAGTATACCAGCTACTGATGTATTGTCTAAACACAATCTGATCAATGGAACAATGCGTCTCAGAACAATGAAATGTTATAAGACAAAAAATTGTTTAAAAAAATACAAAGTGTAAATTTGTGCTTAAATTTAGTCCAGACTGTTGATGGAATGGAATTGAGCTGATTGGAAGCATAATGGCTACAGAATCATGCTTCATTGCTATTTATTTAATGCATGTAGTGCTATTTGCATTTTATGGGTGAATCCTTGCACATGGCTTGTTTTAGATATATGTAGCTGCAGTCATTTCTTAATCAATCCTTCCATTTCTTATAAGATGGTGAATGCGAGTGTGCAAGTCGCATGCAAGATGTTGAGAAGTTCGATGTTGATGGTTTGAAAGTGTGTGTGGAGCTGCATGTGATACAAGAATGAAACCGTGGATTTGTTTTACTCGCAATTTTCCTTTTATTTAATCCCAGGTTACATGTACAAATAATTTATATCTGGTTCGCTGTACATATGTATATAGCTATGGAGACCTATTTGTGTATAGTGTGTAGTTACAACTGTTCCATACACTGTGTGATATTAGTGTATATCTTAACCACATGGCAAGTCAGAAATAAAATGGGGTTCAAAACTTTTCCTGAGTTCTATCATCTATTTCACAAAGAAGGAAAAAATGACAGGTTAATGTTCATGACTGTTCTAGATTAACTCAACATTGTCTATCCTGCCATTTTGTGGAAATTGGTTTTAGATTCTATTTGTTGTACCATTGGACATTAACCTTACCTGGAGTCCTTGGTAAGGACAGATATTCTGTTTCAATAGCCCTAAAAAGGTATAAAGGGGGAAAAATTATCAAATTTTATGTTTGGCCCCAATCAGAATTTTACGAGCTTTTTGGACGAGTTTTTCAAACTGCTTAATGAATGGATCCTTTATCAAATGTCTGCTCTCAAAGTCCAGGATTTCCTTCCTGGACTATTTCCAGCAGCCGACTGAACATCACTAGAATATCCCAACGATTACCTTGATTCTTTACACACAATCATTTCACAAACTTAAGTTGAATATGTGTATCCCTCCTCGCTTGAGAGCGTTTCATGGTTGCCCTATTGGCGTGGTCTGCCAGAGGTCACAGTCACAGTTTCTACAGAAAGAATTCTGCTTGGTTGGGCTTGCCTGGATGATAAATTGAGAACGAATGATCATACAAAGTTCAAACCTACTTAGCAGGTGGGCCTTTTGAATGCAAAGAACCCTATTGATTTTGGACTTGCGTTTGCCAGAGGTCCAGGCCACTACCGCTAAAAATATGATTCTGCCAAAAGGTTACTTGACAATAGATAATCACACAAACTTCAAATTTGGTTTGTTATTACGAACCCTATTAATTTGGGGCATGGTGCCACAGATCAAGGTCACTAAAAAATTCTAGAAATAGAATTCTGTTTAGTTAAGCTTGTCCAGATGAAAAAGAATAATAATAAATTTCAAATTTGGTGTGTTGGCTGCCCTTGTGATCGCAGGTAGCCTTGGTGATTTCGGGCATGGTGCCTCAAAGGTCAAGGTCATTAAACTAGAATACATTGTTCACATAATGAACAATGAATTATCATACAAAGTTCAGTTGGGATCTTTATCTTTCTTTCTTGTTCTATTTACCATTTATTTCCTAGTGCCTTACTTGGCAATACCTAACTTCCTGCTTTAATGTTAAGCATTCACCCGGTTGAGGGAGGCAAAGGGTGTTCCCTGGCCGAGACATACCAAAGTCCTTAAAAATGGTAGTTATTCCCTACATAACGTTCAGCATTTAGGGTTATGACAACGGTTTACATTTTGTCCGTATAATGTGACCGGGTGGATGCTGTGCAGGAGGCCTTCGTCATTATATTTCAGTAAGACAGCACTCTAAAGTCAGAATCAGATCCACGCTATCACAAAGAGGCAAATACACCAACATTCCCTGTCTCTGGCTCGCGTACATACATGTAGGCATACACAACACACATGGAGGCACGTTATTAAATTACCTTGTCTGTTAATAGGACGTTAAACAAAAATAAAACCAAACTAAAAAAACTTACTGTGTGGATTGTCCTAGTGAAAACAAGGAACCCAATTAATCTTTGATGTGGTCTGTAAGAAGTCAAGGTAACTTTGTTTGTCCAGATAATAACTTCAAAGTGAATTACCATACAAAGTCCATACCTGGTGTATGCCAGTATATTTATGGGGCTAGTAGTCCGAGTTCAAGGTTACTTGATAGAAATAGAATTTTGCTTCTATGAAACTAAACCACAAGAAATGATGCCAAGTCCCTTTTTAGCTTACCTGCCCGAAGGGCAAGTGAGCTTATATCATGGTGCGTCGTCCGTCGTCTGTACGTCAACTTTTCCTTTAAACGACTTCTTCTGAAGAACGGACAGGAGTAGAGCCATGATATTTGACTGGAAGCTTCCTTGGTAGGAGCCCAAAAAAGTTTGCGAATGAAAATGACCTTGACCTGCTTTCAATGTCACAGCAGTCAAATACGTGAAACACTTCAAACGACTTCTTCTGAAGAACTAAAAGCGATATAATCTTCAGAATTGGCTGCTGGCTTCCTTGGATAGAGCCCGACAAAGTTTGAGAATGAAAATTACATTGACCTACTTTCAAAGTCACAGTGGTCAAGGGCCTGTTTCCAGTAATGTTAATTCTCCATAGGAGCCTGCCCCCGTATAATTTCTTATCTAGCTCAACTACTGTTTTTTTCTTTTCCGAAGAATAATTTTACACCTTTCCGACACCCAGATTTCATAATTTCAGTGAAAATGTATTTTTATAAAGTTGTCAATTTCAGCATCAAAGACATAAGTTCGTAAATAAAAGAAGGTTATCTCGAAATTGTAATTCGCAACATAGTATAAATTTCTTTTGATAAATATTTCCAAAACATCGTGTTTATTCATAAAACAAAAAAAAAAATATTCTCGGATGAAAATGCACTTGCAGAGACACAATTATGAAGAAAAATGCCATAAAATTGCAATTTTCTCCCGTTATATAGTTTTGGATGCAAATTTCCATCAGAAAATCGGATAGAGCTTTACTTGTTTCATATGTGTACCAAAAATCAGCTAATTCCATGTGGTGGAACGTTCTCATATCGCCGCCTGAATGTGGTTGTAAATTGAAAGAAAAGGGGAAATGAGTAACAACCTTGTCTGAAACCCTATTATATAGCTTATTATATACAAACTTTTATATTGAATATCAGAGCGGATATTTTCATGACAGTTTTATGATGTGTAACGACTAAATAAACAGTATCGATATAAAGATTTACACTGAGGACACCCTGATACATGAATACTGTTCTATCTCAAGTTGTCCTCTTCTGAATTTTCTGATCGTGTGGCCTTGTACATTTATCCGTATCTTCTTGTCTTTGTCTATACGTTTACGGAATCATTGACTCGACGCTAGCTATTCTTGTCTCACTTTCCTTGTTTTATTGTCCCATCTCCAAAGCGTTGTGGCTCTGTCAGGGTTGGGACCCTGACTTGTCTCACTTTCTTTGTGCCTGCCGACCACGCCACATCGAATAGATAGATTATCCATATGAAATACTTTATTTTGTTCTAAGTAATCAATCAATTCTGCGCTTCTTGGAGGTATTGAATGTGATTTATTATATTGTCTTGTTATTTTGTGTAATTAGTTGTTCGTTATTTATCACACATTTTCGCATAATTGTACCAAACTACTAAGTATTAGCTGTTTACAGCAATCATCGGTGGCTTGCTATTTTGTTACTTTATCGACGCTTCATAAACCAATCGTTATTGTTTCAAGATGGAGGGTAAATGTGTTGGAGAAGGGTGTCAAGTATACTTCAAGAAACGTAGTGGCAATAAGAACAGAAGTGCACGCAATGTAAATAGTCCACAATATAAATGGCTCCTAGATACGCTGGTGCAACAAGGATTGATGTCAGCAAAGGAACAAGCACTTATTTGCCAGAAGTGCTACATGAAGTATCTTCGGAACAAAAATCAGCCTGAACCTGAACCCGAGCAGAACCAGGAAATAGAGGAAGAAGACGACTCCCCGTCCCATATCCTGCCGTTGCTGACCCTTCATGATCTTTTGAATGGATCATCTTCACACAAAAAATGCTGTCTCTGTCTTGTTACCTTTGCAAGAAATGGAACAAAATCATCAGTCTTACCAAAACGTGCAAGACATCACCTGATCTATTCACACAAACTGTGGTGTCCCACCTCATCCCGCGTCTGCTCCATTCACCTTATTGGTAACGACTTAGATCCGTCTACAGAGGTTGTCCTTGATGGTAGAGGTTCCTTGGAATCTCAGTTACCATCAAAATCGTCCGAAATCATTAATGACCTCCTAGAGGTGTCGCACGTCCTTTCACAGAACCAGTCTGCGTTTACAATAAGCTTTTCTTCTCTTGATGACTCGGCATGCATGGCCTGGACAGGTTGGTCCAAAGATCAGTTCCTCGAAATCCACTCGCACTGTTCCCCATATCTTTCATCTGGTATATATACCAAGACTACACACGATGCTCTATTACTGTTCTGGGTAAAACTGAAAACCGACATTTCCTGGAGTCAGTGTTCTTCTCTTTTTGGAATTTCCAAGTCAAGTGTGTCCAAAACTTTCCACTCCATAGTACAGGCATTAGACACATCGATAGTCCCACAATTTCTAGGTCCGGATCACTTGACAAGAGAACAGTTGCTCGGGCACAATACTGTCTTTTCAGAAGCATTTTTTGGAGATAAAGCCACTGCCATATTAGATGGCACCTATATTTATATCCAGAAAAGCTCCGACCACAAGCTCCAGAGAATGTCCTACTGTGGCCAGAAGAAGAGAAACTATCTCAAATTCATGAGCATCGCCTTACCAGATGGCTACATTCTGGACACAGTAGGACCATTCACTGGCAGCGAAAATGATGCTACAATTACAAAAAAAGTCATGGACAAGCTAGTTACTTGGCTACAACCAGACGACAACGTTGTCGTTGACCGAGGTTTTAGAGATGTCCTACCAGTTCTCGAAGCCTCTGGCCTCAATGCTAGCATGCCGTCATACCTGAAACCCGGTCAAAGTCAACATTCTGACGTCCAAGCAAATCTTGACAGAACTATCACCAAATCGAGGTGGATTGTGGAATCCTATCATGGTCGTCTGAAACACTGGACGTTCTTCCGAACGCAATTGGTGTCTAACAGCTTTATCAATGTCATCGAGGCTTTGCTTCGAACCGTCACAGCCTGTCTGAATGGTATTAGAGGACCGATCTACCAGAGATCTCCAGAGAGAGATGCCAAAGATAGGCTAATGGCTGAACGTATGAAGGACCGTTTGACAACACCGAATGGTTTAGCTCAGAGAGTCAAGACAGATCCGGATCTATCTAGACGGGCAAGGTCCGAGTTTGTCAAGATGGATGCATCTTCCGTACTGTTTCCCCGTCTCGATCTTGATTACTTGAGAACCATTACGTGTGGAACGTATCAGATATCTCTGGCTCCTGGTTACATCGCCGAACATTTAAGTGATGACGGAGACTATGAGGTGTGGCTTTACCAGCACTCCCCAGACCTTCTCCGATGTCAAATACATTCTCGACACAAAAGCCAAACGAAATATAACGTTTGGATACGGTTCACCGTTTCACCCGATGTTGAGGCCCCAATAAAGGACTACTACTGCCAGTGCCCAGTTGGAGAGAGAACGATGGGAATGTGTGCGCACATCTCCAGTATCTTGTACTACCTTGGGTATTACAGGACGCTGGAAAACCCTCGACCATTACAACCACAGGTAAAGAAATTCCGACAAAACTTGAAATAGTTTTCCATGCGGCAACGGAGTGCATATGTCGAAAGTATGTTTGGGGCTCGATATGAAAGATCCCCGTTACCATGTGACTAACCAAACTTATAAATATAGGTATTATACAATCGCCCGTAGCTATGAACACTCCCGTAAATGCGAAAACCAACCAAAATCATAAGGAACACGTTTTGTTTGTTGTTCTGTCTATTTGTCAGCCAATGTCTTCAACCACGGGGACTTGTGAAGTAGCCATCTTGGATTTTTTTTATGAAAAAGTGTTTCTCTCACTTTTTTTCATATCTGTGTACATATTCTCAACATACCGAGCAAATACTCTCGTTTTTTTGTTAATTATCTAAAGAAAGTCGAAAATCGGCAATTCAACCATAGGCTAATTCAACCCAACATTTGAAAATGTTCCACCACTTACATTTTGATGATTTTTCCTCTCATCAATAGCATATTACGTACTGTTTAATAGGATAAAAATTGGTTTGCATCCAACGCCCATAAAAGGGTGTATTCTCTAAAAAACACAGTTTTTGTGTCTAAAATGTTATCATCGAAAATGGCATTTTTGAGATTGTTTCTTCCATAAAACAGCCAAATGGCGCGATGGAAACATGATTTTTTGTCACAATCATGCCATGAATGTATTCTTTACGGTGACCATCATTTGATTAGATTTTCATTAATATTTTACATAACATGCACATTTTATCAACACTTAGACAGCTTCTGAAAGGTACAACTTTGAGGAGCCTTAAAAAACAAACCAAGTGACCTAAATCTTTATACTTTATAGATTTGTGACCACAACGGCATGGGCAATGCACGACCAACAGGAAATTTGAATCAGAGAAGGGGCCGTTTTGGAAACCGGCCCTTTGTCAAACTCTTTAAACGACTTCTTCTGAAGAACTAAAAGATGTAGAACCTTCATATTTGCTTTGCGGCTTCCTGAGATAGAGCCCGACAACGTTTAAGAATGACTGACCTCCAAGGTCACAGATGTCAAATACATCAAGTGACTTCTTCTGAAAAACATTGAAAGGCGTAAAATTATAATATTTGGCTAGTGGCTTCTTGGGATAGAACTCACCAAAATTTGCAAATTAAAATGACCTCAACCTACTTTAAATGTCACAGAGGTCAACACCATTTCAAAGGATTTGTTATGAAAAACCAAAAGGAATGGATTCATAAAATTTGGCTGGTAGCTTCTTTGGATAGAGCTATAAAAGTTTTAGAAGGAAAATGAATTGACATACTTACAAGGTCACAGGGAAAAATATGTCGAACAACTTTTGAAGAAGAACGATGGCCAAAAAGCATAAAATCTTATAATATTTGACTGGTAGTTTCAAAAGAGGGAGCCAACAGTTTGCGAGTGACAAATTTGTAGTATAATACAATATTTAATGAGATATTTGCTATGTCTGCTTAATTATTCAGGTGAGCGATACAGGCTCTCCCTTGGGCCTCTTGTTGTTTACAAGGTCAAACTTTGTGTGTGGGTAGCCCTAGTATATTGGTTTTGTTTTTTAAATTGGGCCCCACCCTACAGCCCTTGGGGGTAAGGATGGCTCAAAATTTACAAAGTATCAAACTGTCAACTTAGGGTCATAATTCCAATCAAGTTATCAACATGAAATATTCAAAGTATAATTTGTCATTATAAACCATAACAAATTTTGCCCCTCCTTCCCCAGGGGGAAACGCGAGCCCCCAGGGTCATGAAATTCACAATTTTGGTAAAGCACCTTAAGACCCTTCCATCTATGAAGAGTATTTGATTCTACCATACCTGGGTCTTGAGAAGAAGATTTTTGAAATTTCAGTCAATTCCACCCTTTTTGGCCCCACCCATCAGCCCCGGGGAGTCAGTCAGGGCTGATATGTGCATACCATCAAACTGCTATCCAATACTGATAATGCTAACCCAAATTGAATTACTTTCAATGGCAATTATGGGTAAACAAATGTTAGTCCAAAATGTGATTTCCCTATGTAAACTATAGTAANAGCCCCTGGGGTCAGTCAGGGCTCATATGTGCATACCATCAAACTGCTATCCAATACAGATAATGCTAACCCAAATTGAATTACTTCCAATGGCAATTAAACAAATGTTGGTCCAAAATGTGATTTCCTTATTTAAACTATAGTAAAGTTAACCCCCTCCCCAGGGGGAAACGTGAGACCCCAGGGTCATGAAATTCACAATTTTGGTAAAGCACCTTAAGACCCTTCCATCTATGAAGAGTGTTTGATTCTACCATATCTTGCTCTTGAAAGGAAGATTTTTGAAATTTTAGTCAATTTGACCCTTTTTGGCCCCGCCCCTCAGGCCCCTGGGGGCCGGGGACCAAACCGGCAACCATTTTTGTTAACCTTTGGCCATGGAAGGTTTCTGCAAAACGCACGACGGACGACAGACGATGACGGACAAAAGGCGATCGCAATAGGTCACTTGAGACTTTGTCTAAGGTGACCTTAAAACAATTGAATTAATGCCTGGATTGCTTTGAAATACTTTAATATTGAGAGAACACACTGTTCTGTCAATAACAAACATACAATATTCATCAGTTCAATATTAAACATTAGAATGTGCGCAAATTGTGATACTGTCTCCCTACATTGGATTTTCAACTAGGGATGTACTTCCTATTTCCGTTTATCAATACACTCCTATGACCTTAAGACCCTTCTGTCTATGAAGAGTATTTGATTCTACCATATCTGGATCTTGAGAAGATTTTTAAAATTTTAGTCAATTTTACCCTTTTTGGCCCAGCCCTCAGGGCCCTGGGGGCTGGGGACCATATAACTCACAATTTTAGTTGACCTTTGGCCATGGAAGGTTTCTGCAAAATTTCATTGAAATTGGTTCAGGGGTTTTGGAGAAGAAGTCGAAAATGTAAATTGTTTACGGACGCACGACGGATGACGCCGGACAAAAGGCGATCGCAATAGGTCACTTGAGACTTTGTCTCAGGTGACCTAAAAATGTTTACAGGGTTGGAATTTTGATGGTTTTCGTGCTAAACTCTTCAGATTAGCAGCATTATTTTTGCAGTAATCCCAGATCGTAAAGAAGTCGACATTTTTTAAGGAAATTTGATTATGACAATTACCTTACACAGACAGGTCTGTGCACTCAAGGTGAAGATCTCGTATTGCTTGTTCAGATTAAATTTTTAACCAATATTTCTATTCAAGGAGATATGTATTTCAAAGTTTCAAGACAAGTAAGTGCATCACTCTCAGATCTGTACCTCTGAAGGTTAAAGTAAAAACACCAATAACTTCCTCAACTTAATTTCAACTTTCAGAATGTTCTCAACTGTTGCTCATTTAAAGCACAAGTTTAATTCAAAAATATGTAAATTCAGAACATTCTTCTAGATAAAGAATTTTGTGACACCAAAATTGTGGGGCCAACATCTCCATGGATTATAAAACTTAATGAGCTTCTACAGGACATTTCAAATGTTTATTGCTGTTTAAAGGTACTAAAATAAGTTTTGATTCAGATTGTTTCTCAGTCATTAAAACAGAAATTTGGTTCCTGTTAATCTGAAAACCAATTTCTGTGGTGACATTAACAAATAAAGTCCAGACACTGGGTAATCTTTTCAGTATTTTTATTTCTCACCTAGCCCATCGACTAGTCAGAAAGAAGTGATCGGATAAAATATAGAATTCAACAAAGTATTATTTTGTAGATAACAAACACAACACAATAAAATTGTACATAAATATGTACTATAAATATCTGTATAGGTTTCACTAAACCAGGTAGTGAAACCAGGTTCAATCTAAAACAAACTCTTTTTGCATATCAGTAAAACATTTACTCACTTTATCTACCATTTGTAAATGCATGAAGCTTGTGACTAGCATATCCACACACCTCCAATGTAAAACATGGCAGTGTTGGCCACATACACGTGTCACCAATCAATCCTTACATACCTGCCAAATACTCGACCATCAAAACCACTAGTAGGGTATGTTTAAAACGTTAATATTTGCCTTTTTCAATATCAGCATGTCATTTAAGGGGTGTATTTTTTTCAACATTTTCAATGTTGGAATAATAAGCTGTGCAAAATATACACTACAATCTGCACCGGTAATGAAGATCATTTGCAGGTAGACCTGCACAAATGTAGGGACTTGGCAGGTATACACACCTCTACATTCTTTCAAAGTAACTTGCATCATCCAACCAAGCTTCCCTTACTCATTTTCAAACAAACACAGGCTATCTTGCCCTCACTCAATTTTGAACTAGCACAGGCCATTGACTCACGGTCAGTGGCTTCTGAACTAGCCAGGCCATTGACTCACGGTCAGTCGCTTCTGAACTAGCACAGGCCACTGACCCTCACTCTTTTCCAACCAAGCCAGGGCTATTTGACATTTGCACACTTCCAAATCTAGCAAAGGTTATATTACCCTCACTCACTTCCCAACAAGCACAGGTTATTTGACTCGCAAATTATTTAACCCTTGTTCACTTATAAACCAACACATGCCATCAGGTCCTTACATATGTTCATATCACAATACACCAAGCCATCCATCCACAATATCATATACTTAGCATAAGGTCTAACCATCGCACACTACCAAGCTCAGGCTAGAAATGACCAGAATGGCTAATAAATCATTGTAGCTATTAAACTAAAACCAGTTCTACATAAGTTTCCCTCAGTAAACATAATTGATTCGGGTTTTTCATGTGACTTTAAAAGAGTCTCCCTCTCATTCTACGTGTTCCCTGTGCAAATTTGAGCCCCCAGAGTTTCAAGTGACTTAAGCCGGTGACAAGGACAAGTAGACCCAAGTTTCTTATTTCAAACGAGGAGTGATAAACTTAATAATCTGAACTGTTGTAGGTCATAAAACTATTTATTGCCTTGCTTTGGTGAGACATTATTTTTTCACCCGAGGTGCATCGTGTTTCCCAAATGCAGACAAACGTCTTTCACTTGTGTAAAATAATGCAAGTGTCATCACTCCATTTTTCTTAAATGCTTACTTTTGTATTGGCAATGGTCCTTTGATCAACTAATTATTGAAAAAAATTAATGAGGGTATACAGTATACCTCGATATATACTGCCCCTCATTTCATTTGCCCACCTCCCTTACGACCATTGCATTTCAAGGTCCCATTTCTCTAAAACACTTGCACATATTAAAACATTTTACCATACCCTCATGAATGAATATATTTTCCCCGGACAAATATGGTGTCTGCATTCTCTGGTTTTACTTAGTGATCTTGGTTGAAAAGTGACTGACACTTGAAAGACATTTAAATTTGTGATAAACACTGACTTGCAAATTCAAACAAAAAATTCTATATTTTTCAGGAATTCTGAAGTATACAAGCAGTAGAAATAAAGCAGAGGTAATGAGATAAGCTACATCAGACACTTTCTAATCAATGATTCAATGTATGCAATCACAGGGGTTTTATCAACAACACCCATGTCACATTTTGTAGAATCAACAATCATCCACTTACTTTAGAACAACAAAGTAAATCTACCACTTTATGTTGCTTTCCAATGTTAATTGTTAAATTATTCGGAATCAAGTTGACGACATGATTTGTGGGCCGGCACAAAAAGATGTAATTTGCTGGATAAAACGTTAGTCGTTTAATATGTCTTGTAAATCTTACGATTTCTACCGATTCTCAGAATCAAATATTTTGAATGGATCTATTTTTCATGATAGAAGAAAAGATGTTAGTTAGAACCACTCCAGCAATAGATGCTCCACACAAGTGTCCTCCGCACACTTCAGTGATTTACTGTCCAACAGACATACTCCAGTATCCATCTGTTGTTGTTCACTGTTTATGCGTGTGCATCAGTGTCTTTGCACAGGAAAGGTTTGATCTAAGGGACAGGTTCAGTGGACAGACAAGTGGTCAGGCTCCAGCCCCTCCTCGTACCTCTGCCACATCTTGGTGTACAGACCCTCCATGTTGCTTGCGTAGTGTTGACAGTTAAACAGTGGACTTGTCAGTCTGGCCTTCCACACCTTAGCTCGCATCCCCCTCAGACTGTAATGCAATACATTAAACATCATACATCTGTGAAATTTAAAACCATGCACAACTACTTGGCAGTTAAACTTGTTATAGTCTTGACGGAATTGTGATGAAAACTGGCGCACTATCCAGAGAAGATTGTCTGTCACGAACAGAGACAGGAGTGGATTTTCTGATTCGAGTATATATCCCCATGCCTGAACCATTTAAGGTTAAACAGAATTAGTGTGTAAGGACACAAAGTTAGAGAGAAATTGATCAATGTTTACATTTAACTATTAGTAACCCAATAATCCCCCCCCCCCCCCCCCCCATCTTCCAGGAAAAAATAACTAAATACCCTCTATAAGGACATGATACACTAAATATTTTTCACTTAACCACAAACAAGACACATACATCTAGGGCAAAAATGCACTTTCTTTATACATTTTCTTGTGTTTTCTGCAAAATTAATTTAAATTAGTTTAAAAGCGATACAACTATAACAATTGGAAGTGAGATTGAGGAAGCGGTCTGCAGCTGTGCCCTATACTTACAAGTCTTTATCGTTGCCGAGCCTGGAAGCAATGTCAATATAATCATCGCGCGTGTAAGCCACAAGTTCGGGACAGCCCAAGGTGAACAGCTGTGAGGATGCCACCCTAGAGGCAAGGGTCTCCCCTATATCAGAAAACAGCAAAGGAAAATTATGCAGCAGTCTCTTCAAATTGATATAGAAGTTACATGGAGATTTCTGGCAAGCAGAGATGGAGTTACCTATTTCAGTAAAGACTAGCAGCACGATGAAACTTCAAAATTATTTTAGATATTCATTTCACATCAAGATTCAGGACGTCTTACAGAAACTGTTGCTGTTTATCCAATCCAACCGTTTCAAAGGAAATACACAGGAAAAGATTAACACTTGTCACTATGCTTGTCACTATCTATTAATTTTTCCAACCTACCTGAAAGGGTAACCATAGGAGTTCCTGCCCAGAGCACATCCATACCAGTTGTGTGGCCGTTACACAGGGGTGTGTCCAGACATACATCAGCCAGCTGGCCACGACGTACATGTTCCTCCTGCAAAAATGTACGAGGTTAGATAAATTGATCAATAAAAGAAATTTTAAATGCCATATCAGCAAATGGTTTTTCAGAGATTTCGGTCAACCACAGGATGTGTTTAAATCAGAATACCTCTTTAACAGGTAAGACATCCAATTGAGCTAACTTTGCAGCTACCTTTTGATATACATGTACAATATTAGTTTAAGAGGGAATAACACACCTTGGGACATACATATAAGAAATGACAAAGACAGTCTATAAGTCAGTATAGAAACTCTCATTTCATTCACACCTCTATCTCTTGAACATTCTGAAGGTCAAATTTCCTTCATTTCTTAGCTGTATAAATGTTTGCAGCATTACTACGTTTTACTGTTCTACTGATGAGGAATTATGTAAAGTTTAGGTGCACATGAACTGTTTTGAGGTGAGGAAAGGACATACCTTTGGAGCTACAGGTGAGAAAATGATGCGTTTGGGGGCCAGTCCCGCATTGATAGCAGCCTGTAAGACATTGGGCTCGCCTACCGCAGGGAAACGGAGCAGCCACAGAACACTGTTGGGCACACGCTTCAGGATCTCCACCCACATGTCCAGTGTGTCTGGGTCAATCTTGTACAGCTGGTTGAAGTTACAGTACACCACTGCATCACAGGGCAGGCTGTACTGACTGCGTGCCGTGATGATGATGTTGGTTGGCACTTCCTCTCCTGTTGCTGACTTGTTGTTCGTCTGTAATGTTTTAAATCAATTCTTACTAACATTTCGATAAAAGCACAGATCAGAGGTTAATTATAAATCCAAAAAGAAACTGTTGCAAGTAATTCATTCAAATATTCAACAAGTTCTACATTGTAGTTATCATTAAACCTTGTTGGCACATCCACTTTAGCCATGGTTAAACAATAATTATTTGTCAGACTGCAGGAATATATGTTCTGTATTATATATTTAATTCTCTAAAACTAAACATTGCCATAAACAAAAGCACAAGCTAAAGGAACATCTAAATTTAAAGATTTTGGGATCAATGCAGCATCATTATGAAAACTTTCATATCAAGATGTCTCATTGCGGTACCATGTTGGTTCAGTAACCAACTTGTTATAGTAACTTTGATAAATACAATCCCAGCTTCAATAAATCAAATTTCTTCATAAAGTTCATTTTATTTGAACAGCTAAACAAACATGGCAGAGATTTATTTTCAGTTTGGAATTTTTTGTTCTCTTGAAGCTTTGGGAGTTTTTGAAATCGCCCGATGAATAAGCCAATTATAAATCTACCTGATTAGTGGTGACACCGTTCTGAATAGGGACATTGTTGATATAGGAGAGCGGCATACTCTTCAGTATCATGGCCTCAAGGATAGGCTCAACTTCCAGGTTCATAGTTTTGAATGTTACAACACCAGCTGACCCATCAGGTTCATCAGTTGTCGACCCTTTTTCGCAGTAATTTGTCACCCACTTCACTTCTCCAGTACTCATCAGTGGCTCCAGGTCAACACCGTTGTAGACAATGTTGTTGTCAGACACTTCACCATTGACCTCCTGTAACACTTTGTCCGCCAAGTGGGGGAACATCTGTTTGTGATCACCCACAAAGAATGTCTTAGTCATGTAAGCCAGCTTCTCCGAGTACTGGTCAGCGAGCTTGAGAGGTGATGTGGTCTGGTCAGTCAGTATGTAGTCCATGAAGGGCGCCCCACTAGTCCCTGGGTAACCAAGCCACATCACCTGTATAGGAGCTGGTCGCAGTGCAAACAGCTCATTCCTTGCTCCCTTGGTGTAGCCGTTCATATTGACGAGGATGTGTATGCCATCAGCATGGATCCTGTCTGCAGCCTTACCATTGCATGGTATCTGCAAACATAAACATCAGTTTCTGTAAAATATATTTGGTATAACTGAAGCCAACACTTTCAATTGTGAAATATAAATGAATGGTCAGTCACTTTCTTCTGAAAGTTTACCCCTGAATATATGGCAATTCATAAGCCTTATACAGATATGTAAAACAGTGTGTATCTAAATCTTTGTTTGTTTGTGTTTAATGTCCTATTAACAGCTATGGTCATCTAAGGACGTGTCAGGTTTTAATGGTGGAGGAAAGCTGGAGTTGCCGGAGAAATACCACTGACCTATGGCCAGTACCTGGCGAATGCCCCAGGTAGATCTTGAACCCGCGACCCAGTGGTGGAGGGCTAGTGTTAGCATCTAAATATTTCTCTCTCATAAACAGGGAAGCATTTGTAATTTGTAATATATGGATGGTTTGGTCTAAACTGATTGTAAACATCTGTATAATTTCCCTCTACTTACCTGAGACATGTCAGTGAAGTGGTGTGCTTCTCTAGAAAGCTTCGCTCTGAAGGTCGTACCATCATCAGGACTCAGGGAGTAGCAGAACACCTGTAAATACACATCACATCATGTACTACGGAAAGTTTGATTTCTGTACCTGGCTCGTACAAACTACAAACAGGATTTTCAGGACAATTTGTCTAAACAATGCCTGGTCTTTCTCACAGATATCACCAGATTATATCACTAGATTATATCACTAGATTATATCACTAGATTAATCCCATGTTTCACTTAAAGTGAGATTGCTCCGTCTCTCTCTGATGTGGGAGAAGCTGTGACATATAAAAATATCAATGTCATGAGGAAATATTGATGACCGGATGCAATAAAAATACTCAATTGTTATTTAATATAGAGGATGGAAAAAATTCTAGTAATCAAGTTGGGTTTTTTCTTATGAAATTTCAGGACTTTGTAAGTCTCTTCAATGGACAATGAAACCTTACAAGAGGAGTGTTTTTCTAAACATTTTCTTCAGGTTGGTAAGTATGGATTATGAAAAGTCCTTTTTACACAACCAATAAGAGTTTCTATGTGACGTTTTGATGACTTGTATGGTTAGTACATTGTCACCTTCATCAGACAAATGACCAGTGAAACGTATGCACACGAAGGTGTAAAATGTGTACGAGTTGTCCACAAAATTTATGTTGTTTCGGCTACACTGTAAGGGTATGTACAATAGTTGTTATATATGTACCCAAATGACTTGATTCAGCTACGTTTTGTTTAATATTTTGACATAGATGTGCAAGAGTCTATGAGCCCCCTCATCTCGATTTAAAACTGGCCCACTGCGGCGTATGCAGATACTGTGATTTTGTGGACAACTCGTACACATTTACTCTTCTTACAAGAGAAGAAAGAGATTTCTCCATCCCACACTGTAACAAAGTGATACATGGGCAGTTCTGGTTGATCACATTCTAAACAGTTTGACTGGGTGGACTAGAGCTGCTTGTCTACGACTTGTGTAATCATTAAATGATACAGTCCATCGACATGTTACTCAAGACTAGTTGCATTATAATGATAGACTGTCTTCATCTTTTCCTGTCTTTCCTGGAGATCAATCATTTCTCAAAACCAACCCACCATTTATTAATCTACAGTACCTAGCAATATGCAATTAAGTTTCAAGACGTCACAATATTTCTATCATAAAAGATGAAATTATGTGATCCTCACCTCTACGTTTTTGCGGTCATGGAAGCCCGGAATACTTTGCATTAGGTGTGATGTTGGGTGGTTGCCGAAGTCAGAGCTGACATAGCCGATCCTCAGTCGTCCACCACTGGCTCTGGTGTCTGTCACATGATCATACGCAGGCTTGTGCAACACATTTATCTACAAGCGTAGACAATCAGTCCATTAAAATTTAACAGAATGTGTTTTATTGAACTGGTATCCTGTATCTTTTTATTTAACTAGGATATTATTCCTTTCTTTTACAAGCAAAACAAAACTTATTAAAATTGGATTGTATGCCTTTGTAATATACATGTACTTAGATATTGTGGATCTTTACACTACAAACAGAATGTTCCTTATTAAATCAGGACAAAAAAAACATCAGATCTCAGAAAGTGGATTCCTTCAGTCTTCTACTGTCATTATAATTGTCTGGATAAGAAAAATATTAGCAGGGCACAATTCTTATTAAATACCTTATCGAGACAGAGATTGGCATGACGTGCAGCGATGTTTTTCCTCATCTGATGTGTGAGTGGGTAAAGCATACTGTGGTGAGGATGGACTGAGGGGAGACGGTTCTTCTCCAGCTGGTCCTGGACAATCCGTACCAGTTTCTTCATCCTCACACCATAGTCCGTCCAGTCACAAACAATCTAAAACACACAAATGTAAATTCCATTAAGTGGAGGAAACAGAAGTCCCAGGCTTTGTTCAAGGTTTTGACAATCAATTACATTGACATTTTCATTTGAGCTTCATTGCAGTCATATAATATTTCTACTGAGCTGGACAAATTTTTCAGTGACAACCTACCTGTAGACAGTGGGCTAGGTAACAGTTTGTGTGGAGAGGTTCAACCTACCTGTAGACAGTGGGCTAGGTTACAGTTTGTGAGGTGAGGTTACAACCTACCTGTAGACAGTGGGCTAGGTTACAGTTTGTGAGGTGAGGTGACAACCTACATGTAGATAGTGGGCTAGGATACAGTTTGTGTGAAGAGATGACAACCTACCTGTAGACAGTGGGCTAGATAACAGTTTGTGTGGAGAGGTTCAACCTACCTGTAGACAGTGGGCTAGGTGACAGTTTGTGTGAAGAGATGACAATCTACCTGTAGACAGTGGGCTAGGTGACAGTTTATGTGAAGAGATGACAATCTACCTGTAGACAGTGAGCTAGGTGACAGTTTATGTGAGGAGATGACAACCTACCTGTAGACAGTGGGCTAGGCTACAGTTTGTATGAAGCGGTGATAACCTACCTGTAGACAATGGGCTAGGTTAGTTTGTATGAAGAGATGACAACTGACCTGTAGACAGTGGGCTAGGTGACAGTTTGTATGAAGAGATGACAACCGACCTGTAGACAGTGGGATAGGTGACAGTTTGTATGAAGCGATGACAATCTACCTGTAGACAGTGGGCATGGTTACAGTTTATGTGAAGAGATGACAACTTACCTGTAAACAGTGGGCTAGGTAACAGTTTGTATGAAAAGGTGTCAACCTACCTGTAGACAGTGGGCTAGGTTACAGTTTGTGTTAAGAGATGACAACATACCTGTAGACAGTGGGCTAGGTTACAGTTTGTGTGAAGAGATGACAATCTACCTGTAGACAGTGGGCTAGGGGACAGTTTGTGTGAAGAGGTGACAACCTACCTGTAGACAGTGGGCTAGGTTACAGGTTGTATGAAGCTAGTACAATCTGCCTGTAGACAGTGGGCATGGTTACAGTTTATGTGAAGAGATGACAACTTACCTGTAAACAGTGGGCTAGGTAACAGTTTGTATGAAAAGGTGTCAACCTACCTGTAGACAGTGGGCTAGGTGACAGTTTGTGAGGTGAGGTGACAACCTACCTGTAGACAGTTGGCTAGGTGACAGTCTGTGTGAAGAGGTTCAACCTACCTGTAGACAGTGGGCTAGGTTACAGTTTGTGTGGAGAGGTTCAGCCTACCTGTAGACAGTGGGCCAGGTGACAGTTTGTGTGCAGAGATGACAACCTACCTGTAGACAGTGGGCTAGGTTAGTTTGTATGAAGATATGACAACCGACCTGTAGACAGTGGGCTAGGTGACAGTTTGTATGAAGAGATGTCAACCTACCTGTAGACAGTGGGCTAGGATACAGTTTGTATGAAGAGATGACAACCTACCTGTTAACAGTGGGCTAGGTTACACTTTATGTGAAGAGGTGACAACCTACCTGTAGACAGTGGGCTAGGTGACAGTTTGTGTGAAGAGATCACAATCTACCTGTAGACAGTGAGCTAGGTGACAGTTTGTGTGAAGAGATGACAACCTATCTGTAGACAGTGGGCTAGGTGACAGTTTGTGTGAAGAGGTGACAACCTACCTGTAAACAGTGGGCTAGGTGACAGTTTGTGTGAAGAGATGACAACCTATCTGTAGACAGTGGGCCAGGTGACAGTTGTGTGAAGAGATGACAACCTACCTGTAGACAGTGGGCTAGTTTACAGCTTGTATGTAGAGATGACAAACTACCTGTAGACAGTGGGCTAGGATACAGTTTGTGTGAAGAGATGACAATCTACCTGTAGACAGTGGGCTAGGTGACAGTTTGTGTGAAGAGGTGACAACCTACCTGTAGACAGTGGGCTAGGTTACAGTAGGCATCAGGAAAGTCTGGTTTTAGCTTCAGTGCTGTTCTGTAGGAGGATATTGCCTCAGGGATGTTACCAGAATCCTGAAAGTAAAAATTTGATTACCAGTCACAACAAGCCAATTTTCATAATTGAAAAATGCAAACTAGAATCATGGAAATGTTAAAGCCACATCTTAATGATATATTGATTGATTTTGCAGATCAAGCTTATTGTTATGACATGAGTATGGTTTTTAAGCAGTAAAACATGTTTACCAAGATGTTCTTTGTGAGCTGATGCATATAGTCATAAATAACAATTACTATGAATTGATGGAAAATAACACCATCTAGACTGGTATAGAAATGTTATATCTAGGTTTGTTTGTTAAATGTACTGCTAGACCAGTATACTGCAGCACTCATAGAAACTATTCTGAAGTGCTTGAAACCTAATGAAATTTTTGCCAATCAGAAATCTCGTTCTGACCGGGGACAGAAGTCCTGATGGACCCGACATTTCCTCCTAAAAAAGATCCATGAAGGTTCCATTACAGATAAGAAAACCAGAAGATTCAGGGCAACACCCTGACAAAACAGAAATTCCCAAACATGCACCACCACAACCTAGATTCTCTAGGACACTTCCATTGTGTAACCATACTCCATAGATAGGCACCACCACACATACCTGGCCATTTATAAATAACATCTGTGGAAACGAAGTAAACAGGAACATTACACAACCACACACCAAACAACGTGTTACTGCTCAACCCACCACAAAGCATGATGCGTTAAAACAGGGAACGACACATAGAAGTAGGTCATTTCTGACTGGTAACTTCTGGTGTTGAGATAAGTCAATACTGCGGTCAATAGGTGAGGTATTTGAATGTAACTAAGAATGACAGTTCCAGAGGTCATGTAAGAGGGTCCTGTAGGTTGTTAGTCGCATGACATGTCTGAGTTTAGTATACAAGCATTGTGCCTGTTGTTTAAGCCGTGTGCTACCATCCTGTAGGTTGTTAGTCGCATGACATGTCTAAGTTTAGTATACAAGCATTGTGCCTGTTGTTTAAGCCATGTACTACCATCCTGTAGGTTGTTAGTCGCATGACATGTTTGAGTTTAGTATACAAGCATTGTGCCTGTTGTTTAAGCCGTGTACTATCATCCTGTAGGTTGTTAGTCACATGACATGCCCTGTACAATGCGCTATGGTCCAGTACATCTTGTTTGAGAGCTATATACGATTGACGAGTGTCCTGTTTGCTGTTGACAAGCGTTGTCAATGATCGTCATGTATCAATGGTTGCCATATAAGTCTTGTACAAATTTTCTATACATATAGTGTGCGAGTGTCTTGTATGTCCTTGGTAAGGCCAAAAAAAATTGATTACTTGGTTCTCAGGCCCGCGCGCATTTCATGGCACCATGCGCATTGCTGATTTTATCGTGAAAGTAATAAAAAAAACCTGTGAATGCGCCAGCTGCCATCTTTAAAAAAAATCCGGAAAATTGGTCCGCATGTCGTTTTTACTCGTAAGTCACCCAAGTCCCGAAAAGGTTTGAATAAAGGTAAGGATTGAGATACAGGAAAGCGTTAAAATGATTATGACTTATTAGTCTTGTGTCCAAATGACGCTCATTTCGGTACAAATAAGAAATGGGGGGTTCGTGATTCTCGTCTGGAACATCTTGGGGGGATTTTCGGAGGCTAGCTCTATGACGGGTCTCTACACAACTATAAAAAGACAAGGTAATGTCCACAATGAACGTTTAACAAACTACACAATAAAAATAAAAATCGCCCTTGTCTCGTTTTCGCCATGTAAAATGAAAAAAAAAATACTGCCCTGCCGCATCAATTTTGAAAACAAGAGGCCCAAGAGGGCCTGTATCGCTCACCTGAATATTGAAGCAGTCATAGCAAAATATTCTCATTAAATATTATATTGCACTAAAAATATTTTTAGTTCTCAAGAACAAATCCATTAAAATGTTGTTGACCTCTGTGACCTCTAAAGTAGGTCAAGGTCATTTTCATTCGCAAACTTTGTTTGGCTCTTTCCCAGGAAGCCACCTGCCAAATATTAAGATTTTATAACTACCAGTTCTTCAGAAGAAGTCGTTTGAAGTGTCTGACACATTTGACTCCTGTGACCTTGAAAGAAGGTCAAGGTCATTTTCATTCTCAAACTTTGTTGGGCTCTATCCCAGGAAGCCATCAGCCAAATATGAAGATTATATACCTTTTAGTTCTTTAGAAGAAGTCGTTTGAAGTTTTTGACATATTTGACCCCTGTGACCTTGAAAACAGGTCAAGGTCATTTTCGTTCTCAAACTTCGTAGGGCTCCTACAAATGAAGCTTTCAGCCAAATATCATAACTCTAGGCCTGTCCGTTCTTCAGAAGAAGTTGTTTAAAGGAAAAGTTGACGAACGAGGACGGACGGACACCGCGCCACGGCATAAGCTCACTTGGCACTTCGTGCCAGGTGAGCTAAAAATTGGCCTGAGAACCAAGTAAATAATTTTATTTGGCCTAATGGGGTGGCTTTTTTAAAAAAATATCCACTTTATTAATAAGTTTTGAACCAGCACAATTTTAGGTAAAATTGTGCGAACTTCTATAAAAGTATTCTTTACGTTGTTTTAAAAGCGAGACTGTACATGCATTTGTTTGTTAGTGAGGAAAAATTAACAATATCCAAAGATAAAGAGAAGTTTTAATCCTCACTTGAACAACAAAGTACCAACCTTATGAATTGATGCCAGGTTACTGTGAGCATCAGCAAATGCGGGGTTGATCTGTATGGCACGCGTGTAACACTGCAGCGCCCCCTGGATATCCTGCATCTCCTTCAGTGTGTTACCCATGTTAGAGTATGCATCAGCAAATGTTGGCGAGATTCTGAAAAAAATCACACATTTATTCATGTGTAACTTTGTATACATGCATCGAATTTTGGTTGCTAAATTGCTTATTCTACTCATAGCAATAGAAACTGTAAGGCAACACAAACATTGATTAGTATAAGGATGTCCTGAAGGTTTCTCTCTGTCTTCTTGTTTTATTCACTTCTCAAAGGGGAGGTTCACATTGAAATGTTGTATCAAATTTGATTGGTACCATTCAGTTATCATTCCATTCATACAGACACCATGAATATTGAAAATAATTATTTTCTGGAACAATTTTTATTCCATGAAATCAACCCTCTCCACCCACCTTCCAACAAAAGGATATCTATCAGGAATGCACTAAAACATATATATACCAATTAGAAACAAACTGGCATATGACATAAAGGCCATGAGATCATTACAGGCAGCTCAGTTACAACTCCATTGCTAATATTACTGGATGGAATGTAATGGATTCACAGCGGCAATGGACAGACCAGTATGATGATGAGAGGTTTACCTGATAGCTTCCTTGTAATGGGTCAAGGCTTCGTGGAGTTTACCCTGTTGTTGTAAGACACTGGCCAGATTAGAATGTGCCACGGCAAACTCAGGATACACCTATAAGTATAAACAAATGTAGTAATATTCACGAAATGTTAATCAACAGTGTCACAAATGGAACCACTAAACATTGGTTGATGTTTTAACAAGTCGAGTCTCCTACATCTGAGAGACCAAGTTAGACTTTGACCATAGAGACCAAATACAAATCTTTCAACCATCTATCTAAGACACTGTGTTTGACCTCAATTACTAAGAAGAACTCTCTAAACCTTACCTCTAAGGCATTGAGGTAGAGTTTGACCGCTTCCTCTGTATTCCCCTGCTCCCGTTTGATGTTGGCTAAGTTGTTTAGAGAGTCAGCATGTGTGGGACTCAACTTCAGGGCAGTGTTATAACATTCTTCTGCCTCAGGAACCTGCAACAGAATATCAAGATTCCATTTATTACTCATCTATAGATATCATATATTATTTACAAATCATCATTGACCATGTCACAATTGATCAATGAGGATGTCATTTATGATCCAAGACCAAACTATCCTTTTGAAAATTTAGTATTTTAGAAGATGATCAAGATATTATATCTACATCAGAACCTGTTTAGAATGGAGACCTGATCATCATGATATCCATTATAATTGTTCCCAGCAAAAACACTAGACTGTAGAGACAAATTTGCATAGAAAAAGCTAATCTGTCCACTACTTGTGACTGGGTTAACTAGGCTAGGGTAGCAGTGTACAGTAGCGTACGGTGGCCATGGGTGATATTTTTGTTCAATGAATAACCCCCGTAATATTACATGTATCAAAACCTAAAAAAAATCAGCTCTAAAATTGGCATATACATGATGAAGTGGACTATGTGGGCTTCACATTTAAAGAAAAATAAATGAATTTGGCTTGAGACTCCATTTTTTCGCCATTTACAAATCTGTGTCTACACAACAAAACCTAGCTTTTCATGTAGTCTATTTTTGAACTCAGCACATGTGTAAATATTGTGGAAAATTCAGTTGACGACCTATGCTACAACGTGAGTATTTCTGTTACCGAGTAGGTGATATTTAATTTAAGACAGGTTTTAAGAAAAAGATTACTACTTGCATGGGTCAAATTTTGGGTCACAAATCATGTTTTTTGGCATTTTTTGGTGTTTTTTGATGTAGTAACCATGGTTTTCACAAGATCCAAATCTTTGAAATTTTGAAAAAAAATCATTCTTCTAAAATAAAAACTGTTCAAAACGTAGTTTATAAATATATATATATATATATATATATATATGTAGGTGTGTTGTGCAGGATGAATCCGCTATCCATGTTTATCCGAGACATGCCCTTTATTTTTAGGATCAAGCCATTTCTTCTGTACTCTGCTACCTAGACAGTACATTTCCTTTATATAACATCAGACAGGGTGTTGTTTTACCTTCCCCTTTTCCTTCAAGGCATTAGCTAGGTTACAGTAGGCATCAGGGAAGTTTGGCTGCAGCTCGATGGCTCTCTTATACGTGTCTATAGCCAGATCTATTAACCTGTAAAGTATATTGAAGCAACAATTAGATAAGTGTCATTTTATTTCCATAAATGCATAAACTGTTATCAGATTGATATGCATTTTCTCAATATAACACGAGCGAAAATGTGATTAGAAAATCTCTTTCAAAATTTCCAGAGCTGCAAAATATCGTTTAAGATCATTATTTTATAACACTGCTTGAAGTAGGTAAATGCTCTGGTTCATGTGTAGAAAAATTCATCAAAAAAACACCAATATATTGTATATCAAATAATTAGTTCACATACCGTAATTAACAATTTAAAGACATTTTATTGGCACATGAGACCTTTGATATCAACATAAGCTATAATCACTTTAGACTTCAAAATAGACAATGTATACCTTTGACCTTGCTATTCAGATCTTTGCCAAAAATATAGATCCATACAAAATGTGAATTCACACTAGTCCTGTGAATTCACACTAGTCCTGTGAATTCTCACTTGAATTCACACTAGTCCTGTGAATTCACCCTAGTCCTGTGAATTCACACTTGAATTCACACTAGTCCTGGGAATTCACACTTGAATTCACACTAGTCCTGTGAATTTACACTTGAATTCACACTAAACCTGTGAATTCACACTGGTCCTGTAAATTCACACTGGTCCTGTAAAACTCACCCCTGTTCGTAGTAGACACAAGCCAGGTTGCCATGGACCACTGCATGTTTTGGACTTAAGTTTAATGCCCTCAGATATGCTGCCACAGCCCTGAAAATTTACATACTATATTAAAGAGTGGATATATGCAATAACCAAACTTTCAACCCATAAGCTTTGAACCCTAAATGGATGACCTAAGCTATCTGGCACTATTGGGTTAATTGACAATGAACACCACAAAGAAAGGTTTGGACCCTGAAGATACCAACTCTCTTAAGCTTATGTGCATGACATTCAGCTCCAAATACAGCAGCCTGACAAGAGATTCAAGCTCTACCTGTTGTTGTTTTATCACCAGTCCAGTTATGCTACATTTTATCGCTCTGATCTGCCGGACTCATGATCTGTTACCCAAATATAATCTTTTAATGAACTTGTAAGTCACTCTTTTCCAAGCTTTCGGGCTTAGCCATTCGTCAGGGATCAAATGTCACTGGACCTCTATGTCACATCCATTTTGACAAACATGTTGAATAACTATCATGTTTGTCAAGATGGATGTGACAAAGAGGCCCGGTGACATTTGATCCCTGACAAAGGGCTAAGTCCGAAAGCTTGGAAAAGAGTGACTTACAAGTTCATTAATATTATTGCATTCCCTATAGGAACATCTGTTTGTAGACAATTAGTTTAATCTTTTAATTTAAATTACAAGTCATCAAAATTGAATGTGCTTGTACTTAATTCTTGAAGTATCAATTAACTATAACCCAACAGCCTAGAAATGAGAAAAAAGGATGTTCACAACATTGTAATAAATGTTACAGATGATTTCATATACCTTATTCTACTTTGAAAAGTAAATACTTCAAATATCAACCATACCTGTCAAATATTCTTGCCTCCTTCAAAACATTTCCCAAGTTAATGTAGGCATCCAGGAAATTTGGATCTAAAGCCACAGCCTGAAAAACAACAATGTCAGTGTGTATCTACTGGGAGTGATGGATTGATCTGGTATTAATTTGTTTATCAAAGGGATTTACAGGTGTGTTTTTTTATATTTGAAGACAATTTGAGAACATTATCTGGGAAGAGAAGGATGGAGATCTTTATTTTTTCCAACATTCAGAAAGGTATCTTTATAATCTAGTCGCCACTTGTTTGCAAATCTTAATTTCTGGAAAATTCTATTCAATATCGGGAACTAAATAGTGTTAAGAAATATTTTCTATTTAATATAAATCAGATCCCATTAACATTCTATACATAAAACACTCAGCATTAAGATACTTCATTACAATTAGACTGCAAGTTATCTTGTAATCTGATATCCACCCTGTGGGCTGAACACTAATCAAACTCTATCATTAAAGTATATTTTGTATAAACTAAGAATCCTACCTTCTCAAAATGGTGAATGGCCAACCAGATTTCCCCCTGAGCATTGAACACACATCCCAGGTTGCTCCAGGCCACGGCAAAGTTAGGTTGCGTTTCTATGGCCTTCAAATAGCATGCCTATATGGAGAGGAGGGGGGTGGGGAGAAAAAAAAATGTTAGACAAAAAAATACATTGATGACAAAATAGCGCCAAGACTCGCTGCAAAATACCGTCCGCAGAGCGCAGTTCATGCAACATCAGTTAGGATGTCACTAAGAGCCAAGAATTAGAAGCGGAGTGCAAGGATATTTTAAATTCTTATAATGTCCGAATATTTTCAAAAGGTGGGAACAGCAGACAGCTATTTTGATTTTCAGTATATATATAACCCGATTTGTACTTTTGCTAAAATAATTGGCTCTGTACATATGTAGACCAGCGTGAAACTAGAGACCAGATCATAATACCATCTAGAGACACCAGCAGAATTTACCAGCAATATATAACAGTCTAATTTAAATCAAAGGATGTTAGTTATAAATTCAGTATTAAATATCATAAGAGTTTCTGATGACCTGGTCTTGAATTTCATTCTGTTCAGTGAAACCGAGTTGCAACAAGACACACTTGTACAAATCACAGTCTTTTTCTCGTATGTATTATCACCAATAATGTAATATCAACTCATCTATCCAGACTAAATACCAGGAAATTTCGAAACATTAACATGCAGAACTGGAATTTCTATTCAAAGTTCCTGCAGTAACAATTCAAAAAACGTTTCCAATATTTTTCCTCTGGATACCAAAGGGTCTAGATTAATGAAGTTCCACCATACTTATGCACATCACTGACTTATTTTTTTGGACAGTACATGCTTTTATGCATGTCTTTCCTTTCTCTCAAATTGTACTTTAAACAATGCCTGAAATGAGAAAATTGACAATAGATTTACACAAGAATTTCTTGGCAAGCGACCGCAAACGCTCTACCGCTGCGCAACAGGAAGCGTGCGCGCATGACAAAATAAACCTTCCAAAGAAAAAGAATATTGTTCTGAAATCCACAAATATTTTAAGAGATAACTAGCCAGTCTTTTTGAAAAAAAGTTTACGGTAAATCTCCAGTCAGTTCGAATAGGCGGATAGTGCGAGCACTTTTTGAACAATAAAAATAATAATTTTCTGTGTATGATAGTTCGAACCCTGCTTACACACGTTTCGGATTGTTCGACCACACAACTTGAGTGCTGAACTTGCGTAATTATATTGATCGAGGTAATAGGCTATCGGCGATGCAATACTAGCCTCGCGAAACTCACTTAAACTTGATATATTTGTGCATCGACAGTGTATAACTACTGAATAACTGGTAGTACTCATGTGCGACCATTGTTGTCATCGATGTCGGACAATTTGTACACACAAATAAGTCACATGTCACCGATAATTGAGTTTCTTTCTTGTAAACATGTGCACGCGCCTGTCAAACAGTTTTACCCCCGGCCATGTATAATATCCTAACAGTACATGGAGCGCGGAATATTACCGTCACATTGGTGACAGACGTGTCTATTGTCATGATATTGCTGTGATTACATTTTGATTGTATAATCGCGACCTGGCCACCGACCACTGATTTATAACTTAATTGGCATATTACTAGATACATGTGACAAAACAAATACATCTGACCAGGTGGTCGATCGAACTATTAATCTGTAATTGCAGTTTCAATCCACCCTCTGCATTCTGATCAGTACAATTGAACTTTCGTCATTACTTCAGAAAACATCTGCTGCTTTGCGGCCTACATACTTGTCTCTGCTTTGCAATTGAACTTAATAATTGATTATCGATATGTAAGTGAATATAAGAAAGATATATATACCATTATTCATCTCCAGATTTGCAAATATATATCGCGATGAGGCTGTCGTTGATCCGTATTGAACAATGACTTGACTGTTTACCGTGAATTTTGACGATGTCAACTTGGATAATTCGAACTACTCTTTATTCAAGTGACTATAATTTCGTGTAATTCAAACAGGATTGACAATATTTATTTAATTTTGTTCAAACTGATCGAAGGTTTACCATACTGTTTTACAGAACAAATCATCCTTGGTACTAGTAGCAATACACACTACAGCTGTTTGTTTTGTTTTTTATTTTGGTGCCAAAACGTTAATAACAAGGAGATATGACCGACTTCATAATTCATACAATACCTCACATAATCACCCAGAAAGTGATGTAATTACCAATGCAAAGCATACCCGTCGTCGATAGGTTTTGCCCTCCTTGTGTCCGGCCTCCAAAGGGGCCATCAAAAACATGTTACTGCCATCTCAATACTGTATTACAGAAATTATAAAAAGATAAATTTTGGATTAATGACAGGTAAAAAATAGACATTAGTGGTTCAAAATAATCTTGGATACACGAGTCAATTTTCACTTACATACAAGTCATGTCTCTATACATCTTTGGCTTGTATGTCTGGAATACCTCTATAACACACACAAGAGTTTGCGCTAAATATTAATTAACCCTTTCACCCCTATGTAACTTTATTAGACTCTACCATGTATTGATATGGATGAGTCCATTATGGTCTACAGTGGTGAAAGGTTAAATTTGGTATCGTTTGTACTGAAAGTCTGATTATAGAGACTCTAGCTGAGGTTGAGGTAATCAGTAACTTTATGGAACTTTTGCCAAAACAGTAACCCCCCCTCCCCCTCTACTTGCATATATCTGGATTTTCTTTACATTTTGATATCCTGGAAATTGATGTACAATTCCTACATTTGGTTTGCAAGCTTATGTTTCGCAAATCAACAATCAATCCAGACATGATAATATTTACTTACAGGAAAGGCCTAATAAAGACCTGTATTCATTCAATATCCGTAGAACTCGTTATCTTCAAACACTGCCCGAGTTTCAGCAAACACCAGCTTTATATTGGTAAAAGCAAATTAATTCAAGCTTTGTTCAGAAACTGATGCTGTTTGCAGACTAATATTTTAAAGTAAAATTTCTCAAAAGAAATCAAGAAATTATAAATGGTGTATAAACTTTCATTTTTTTTTTATCTAAATATAAATTAATGTTTGGTTTTCACGAGATACCATCAACGCAAACTCCGTGAGATAATGCCATCATTGTGCGATTTCTCAAGTGTTCCATGAAGAGGAATACATTTTCCTATCAGTGAGTGAATTCAAATTCTCTGTGACCCGAGTACAAGAACGAAGAAATAGAATTGGCTGGATATTCTGCCTTCATCAATCCAGTAGGTCTATACAAAACAACACAACAATCAGATTTCTACACAGCAGAGAAATGGAAATCAGGACCAACACAAGAACTTTAAATTCAAAACAAACCAAAAAAATAAACACATATAAGGAAAGTATAGTTTACTGTTTTTCCTGATGTACTGGATTAATGAATACAGGTTCTTCAATAATATTTTTTTGTGAATTTTTCTGGAAAATTTACCATCTGGACTTTTTTCCTTCTTCTTTTTATAAAGGTGAAGAATATAAATTGCCAATTAAGTCAAACCATTCCTTAGACTTTGTGCTTGTATGTCACAGTATCTTGTGTCCTTTCTCGTCAATTTCCACTGTGTCAATGAAAGCTAACAAAAGCTTGGTAATAGTATACAACCAACACAACGATGATTACCTTAATACATCTGCCATAACGGGCAGTCAATTCCAAATATCAAATTTACAACACGGAACTGCACAAAGCTATTCATCTTGCAGAAAAACAACAGGAGTCTGGTGTCCTTCCTGCAAGATATTCAACTCTAGAAAAGCTTTCTGGAGTATTAAGCAACATATCACATACGTACAAGTGAAGTTGCATTGAAGAATTTTATTATTCTTTTATAGTCCCCCATGAAGGAGATCAGCATTGGTTGGAATATACTACTACAAATCTTTTCCATCATACATAATGATAGCCATGAGGCTACTTACAAATAAATGTGTGTCTGCAGCTTGAAGGTCGCCAACACATCTCAAGGTCAAGACAAATCTCACAAAATTATATTTGAGCAAATTGCAGAATTCCCATTGTTTCTTTGTTATCAATAGGTGAAAGTGTATTGGGTTTTGTATACATCTCCTGGGATGTGCACCTTCCTGCAAGCTTCAGACCCTGCTAACAATATTTTCAATGTAAGAAAATCATATTAATTTCTGATAGGAAAATATTGATCCCTCTTCATGTGCATATGAACCAAGCATGGTAATACCATAACATTTATATAATTTGTGCACCTATGTAATTATCAACATAGGTAAAATTCTGAGCTGAAAAAGAAGTTGTTCCTATACTGCATTAGATTTTCACATAAAAAACTGATGCTCTGAATGTCCTAAAAGCTGACCCCAAAACATAAAACCTGTGATGTAAACATTTATGAAAACAGCAGTACAGATGCTGTTATCCCTGATCTTATAGCCTGCGATGTCTGTTTGTGGTCAAAATCCAGGAATCAAATAAATACCTTGGCTTCATCTAGTCTTCCCAATGCCTTCAGCAGATTGCCAAGGTCGCTTCTTACACAATACAATTCCTGAAACAAGCAAGAAAACAAATAAATTTATAATCATGTTCAATTTCAGAAATATCCTGTATTTTGCCTCAACACAAATGCAAATAGTGGAATAGCAAATTGAACAAAATTTTAACTTTTCTATGTACTGTGACCTTATCATTTAATATTGAAAGCAGAGTATTTGACAGCTGTGCCCTGAGGCAGGGGTATTGATTTAGCCTCCAGGTCAGAAAGTATTTTTTGATTATCATGATTAATATGTAATTCATTTTAAAAGTTCTATATTTACCCGCCAAAATATGAATTTGCTCATTTTCTTTAGTTTACTCTATACATTATTATATTGAACTCACATGGTTATACTGCAGGGCAGTCACATAAGCTTGGACGGCCTGCTCCATGTCTCCGGCAGCTACTAATGCAGCAGCCAAGTTGATGTAACCATCGATGAAATCGGGCTTTAATCGGACAGCATGTCTGTAGTTTTCCAATGCTTCCTGGAGTTGGCCTCTTTCCTTATACACATTTCCCAAGTTGGAATAAGCCTCAGCTAATAGTGGATTTTGTTTTATAGCCAATTGACTGAAATACGCTGATCTGAAACAATTTAGTTTTCCTGTATATAAATCGGTTTAGTATATAATTGAAATCAAAATAATTCCTTTCAATAAGCTGATTAATTCCGGGGTGCACATTGCTTGTGAGAAAATTTGTCTTCTTTTTTGTTTATCAATTATAATTTATACTATTAATTAGGGGGTGCACAATGCTTGTGAGAAAATTCCTCTTCTTTTTTGTTTATCAATTATAATTTATACTATTAATCAAGGGGTGCACAATGCTTGTGAGTAAATTACGCTTCTTTTTTGTTTATCAATTATAACTAATACTAAACTTACACTATCCTGATAAATCTTTTCATACTCAATGCCACAATTTTGAGTAACCTCAACAAAAACTACCTGCTGCGGGTGTCCAGCTAGTGTAACTTAGTATTGTGATATTAATTTCTATGACATGTACACAATTTCGGATTTCCCTACTAACACTGACAGCTGCATCATTTTAATTGTGTTTGTTTTGTGTTATAACTTATATACATGTCTGAATTGTTAATCCTGTAGTCAAAATACAGAATATGATTCTTAACTTGAACTGTCAAAAATCATTTTACCTTTCCAGCTTACGACACTGAAAGTGTATAGAGCTGAGAAGTAGCAATACTCCAGTGTTGTCTGGTTCTTGTCTCCATAACTGCATGCAATGTTGCTCCGAGTTTTCATAGTCTCCTGCCTGGTACTCTCTATGTGCCAGCTCGGCCAAACCTGAGTGATAAAGGGATAAGTTCCACAAAGTATCGACTAAAATAATATAGGCTACACCCCCCAATAAAATTTGTCAAGATGTCACAAGAAAAATCACTTCCTTAGAACTTTTCATCACATCTTCAAAAATCAAAAAACACTCAATGGGTCTCCAAAGTATTTTCTCCAGGTTAGGAAAAATAAGTTGACGGAGTGTATAGAGGGATTGGTGATGCTACATAGGCACAATATCAAAATGTATTGGGGTGGATATGGGATGTACACAATACCAACCGGAGTGGATTGGATGTACACAATACCCCTCCCTACCCCCACCCACTGTCTATGTGCTATTGTAAAGAATGTGCACTATTCTGATGTCAAATTTGCCATTATATAGGACAAGCTCCTGATAGATGAACAGAGGCCTATAGCTAGGGGCGCCTAGAACATCCGTGGTCACTTGGAAGGCGCATGGGCCGATCGTTTGAATTACTCCTTTCCTGATAAATAAGATCGTTATCAAAAATAAATTTTTCACTGCACCTTCGCTTATCTTTTAAGCAATGTCAAGACAAAAATGTCCATGGATCGATCACGTTCATCGACAACAACAACAACCCCCCCC